GTGTGTTACGCTTACGCGTTCCGTTGCTTCAAACGCCCTTGGGGTCGTGCACGGTGAGAACTTGTCCGATGTTTCAAGAAGTTGTGCTGGAAACCGGCATCCCTGCTAATTACTTTGCTGTGGAATCCAGTGGAATTTAGAGAAATAGAGAGGTTGTTTCTCTTCCTGATTGTCTTCGAGTAAACAATTCCACAGGTATTGATCACACACGCACACATCGTACACAAACACGTCTACTCGCAACAACCAAGATAGGTGTTGGTATGTATCTTGGCTGCTGTGAATCACAGAGGTAGAGAAAAGATACAGTGTTTCCCTTTCTGGGTAGTGTTGCAATAAAGCAGTTTCAGTGGAGGAAGAGAGGTGTGTGGTGCCTGCTTTCTGACCCCTTGACTGAAGAAATACTCCGAAACCCACAGGACATCTTCTCTTTGAACTGAGATTATGAATCTCCTCCTCCGATGTCTGTGCCAAGTTATATCTGTGGTTTCCCCTTTTGCAGAATTCCCTGACACAGATTTACGGAACCTGCTTGCTTGAGTGCCAGTACGTGTCTGTAGGAGTAACAAAGCTGATGTTTGGAGCAAATAATGCTGCAAATATGCAAAATCTTCCCTGTTTCTGTGTTTTTAAAAAGGAAAGGAAGACATGGGATTGTCATCAACACACAGCAGCAGTTAGCAGATATTTTTTATTTTATAAATGGAGAAGTACTAAATTCAAAGGATGTTGATTTTTTTAGTAGCATGTATGCTGTGCATGTGCTGTAGCTCTATGTAACAACACTTTGTTTAGCTGTAAACCTTGGGTAATGACGAAATGCAGAGAAATCTCAAGACTTACTATGCACAGGCCTACTATGGAGGAAATGTGACAGTAATCCTTCCATTTCTGGACCCCAGGGATAAGTCCCATTGTGAATGTAAAATAGAACTGCAACTTTCCATTTCCATTGTCTCACAGTGATTCTGTTGCTATGTAAGCCAAGGCTGTGAATTAAAAATGCATTTCCTAACTCTCAGAATTAGCAAGCTCATTCTGTTATTCTGCTATACTCAAGCTCTGTTCCTTTAGATACGTGCAACATAAGGGCAACGGATCTTGCACTCCGAATTCAGCAAATTATTCTGGTAATTGTCAGATTCAAAATTAAATCCAAGTGGCTGCAACAGTGTTATCAGTGTTTCTGTCTGGAAAAATGCCATAATTAAATGTGCCGTTTTGGAAGTTATTGTTCTTGTTTGTTAATAGGTTATGCCTAAGGCTGTACGTCATCAGAAAAATTTTTTTGTAGTTAGTGAGGTAGGTTATCTGAAAACAAAAAATTTCATTGAAAACAGGCAATTCTAACCCTGTGCTACTCTTAGGAGATGTTTTCTTTACCAGAAAAAAAAGCTGTCGTATTTCATTACGGTGATTCCTGCCCTACACAAATTGTGACATCCTGTGTTTAAGTAACGGCCATTGTGTTGTTATTCCTCATGCTTTCAGAAAGTGTCCTCTGTGTAGTTTATAATAAAGTAATATAAACAAAAAGAAGTTAGTTTACATTTTTTTTCTAAGCATCATTGCTATTGCGTAATTAATTCAAATGCTGCTTTATATGGCATTGAAACAAACTGGTAGCGTGGCTATTTCAAGTATCTTTTAATTATGGCTGAACAGATTTCTGATGTATGAGTAACTCAAAGCAGTTAAGTCCGTAATGTGAGCACGAATAACGTAAATCAGAGAAGTCATGAAGATCTGCTGTAGGAAAATATTTTTTCATACTCACAAGAACACATGAAAGTTTGTACGCATAATATATCTGAAATAGCTCTAGACTTAACTTTACAGGGCTTCCCTGTATCTGTAAATGCCAACAGATTTCAGCAATGTTAATGTAATCAAGCTGTGATTATGGTCTAAACCACTGTTATTAATAGCCAATGCATGCCTGTAGTTTTATTTTTCTCAAAATGGATTGTTGTGGTTTTTCTTCCTGGCAGTTCAGGTACTACAAAGAAGCAATATGTATCTTTTTTTTTTTTTTTTTTTTTTTTTTTTACTTGCTAAGAAATGCATGATATAGATCTTAAAAAATTAATTTCACAGCTCTGCAGACTTTGTGCTTGCTTCATATCCTTTTTCCTGAAAAAGTTGCTTGTGGGCAGCAGACACATGAGCTGAATCCCTGGCTTTTGTCCATTTGCTGTTCTTACTAAGTCTGTTGACTGGCTTGCTAGACCCTTGCTAATATTTCTTTTTACTTTGAATTCCATAAAGGGATATCTGTTTATTGCAGAGTTAATTAATACTTTACAGTCAAAAATCTACTCAGTGAGCATTTTTATCTCTGTAATATAGACCGTGATATTCTTGAAAACCTTCTGCATACATTTTCACGTACAGCATATGTAACTTTCCCGAACGTTCAGTTTTGTGCTGATAAATTATTGCAAACTGTTTACTATGTGTATTTTCAATCATCCTTTTTTTTTATATATTCAGAAACATGATTTGGGAACTTTCTTGTCCCACTTCCATGTTCCTGTTCAAATCTGTCTTCACTTTTGTATGATCTGTTTCTTAAGTTTAGATTGTACATTTCTTCCAGACTGGCAGGCACTTAGATTTAACCAAACTAATCTGCATGTGGCAAACACTCCAGCCTGGATGCACTGCAGAACCTCTGCTGTGGTGGATGTAACTAGATAGAAGATTGTCTTTTCTCCCTGGTAGTTGAAGAGGAATGCCTGAAGAATTTAGTTTCTAGTGAGAGGAGGGGCCAAGTCTGCACTGCTCCTTATGCTGGAGTAGCTGGCGGGATTCTGCAGTGGAGACATTTTGGACGTCAACAAGCACTGTTTTTGTTGGAGTGGTTATTACACCTCTCCTAGTGATGTAAGCTAAGCCAACAAAAGCTTTTTTGTTGTTGTTGTTGTTGGTTTAGCTGTCTCCAAAGCAAGAGTTTTTCCAGGGCAGCAATGACAGGCAGTAACCCATTTACTCTCACAGGTTTGTGGGCTGCTGTACTTTTACATTATGAAGCCCTCTGTGAAAGAGTTGAAGCCATTAAAAGCTTTGTGCATAAATTAATTTTTTGGATGCAGCTCAAAACAGTGTTTAATGAACATGCTGAACTCAAGCCAATGGCTAATTATATTTATATAAACATATATTATCTGCTATTCCCTAAATGTATGTACTTTCATATGTATACACCTAACTGACAATACCATGTTCTTTCACAACATTTTGAACTTAGAAAGTTGAGGCTTCCAGAAATTTCATCTCTAGATGTTCATAATTTCAAATAAGCTTCTGTAGGTTTGACTGTTACAATACTCTTGAAAGTGAATGTGCATAGATTATAAAGTTGAATTTAAATTCTGGTAAATTTTGATTCAAAATGTTTTTAATGTTTTTTTTTAATTTACTCATGAATATTTTTCATTTGTTTTGTTTTAACAGGAAACATTGGATGCTCTGGTAAAGTCTGAACATATGACAGATGAGATCAAAACTCAATTAAATGATCTTTGTAGATTTTCCAGAGATTTGAGTACTCATTCTTCAAAAGTTTCAGGGTTGATTAAGGAGTATAACAGGTACACACTCATCTTGTTTATAGTTAATCAATCCCAAGTGTGTGTGGGCATGAGCTGTCTTTCAGGGAACCATTAATTAGAATTTTAGAATTAAAAAAAGAGGTATACAATGACTAGAATAGTTATTTTGATTTTGCTATCAATAGAGGTTTTAAAAAGTAGCAATCTGAGGTTTTTTTCCTCCTAAAAGCCAGGCTGTGCCACTAAACTCAGTTGAAACTAATGTATATCCACACCTGACCTGTTACAGGAGGAATCCTTGTAAGAAACTGTGAGGTAGCATTGTAGCTTATTTGTCTGAAGGAGCAACAAGCTATACCAGCTATTTAAGAAGTTTTTCTGAATTTTGTCCTTCAGTTTACTGTTCTTTGGCTAGCTGGTTCCCTGAAACAGGAGAGCTAGCATTTGGTTGCTTTCTTGCTTTCTCTCAGGTCACTCTAAGCTGAGTTACTTGGGAGCGCAACACCTGCATTTCACACACAAGATACCGTTGTCTCTTGCAGGGGGCTATAGCTTTTGGCTTCTGTAGCTGCAGAAGGAGGATGTGATGACCCAGACTGACCCCTTCGAATGTTAGACTGAACCGAGCCACAGAAGTTATTAGAATTGTACTCACTGTAGTTTCGCATCCTGTCCCTAGAGAGAGAAGGGGGCTTGCAGAAACTGCTCATGCTTTAGGTGCACTGAGTCACTCTCTGGAAACACTTATACCTCTCATGTCTGTGACAGTTATGTCCCAATTTATGTGCTTCGCTTTTAAGGAACTGAAAGCTTCTAATGCATTTCCTGGTGCCTCAGCTAAGTGCTTGAAGTTGGTAGGAGGAATCCAGGTTAATCTAACCTCACCGTTGTATTTCAGAGAACTAAGTAATAGCATTGTCACCTAACAGAGTTCTGCTTTTCCTCCCTCCCTCCCTCCCTCGCTCTCTTCTGCTTCCCTGATGTGATAAACCCAGCCTCTGCCTGCAAGCTTCAAAAGGATGTCAGAGCAAAGAGCAGATCTTGCAGCAAAGATTTCGGACGGCTTTCAGGGACTTCCAGCAGTGGCTGGTCAATGCAAAAGTCACCACAGCCAAATGCTTTGACGTGCCTCAAAATATCAGTGAAGCTTCAGCAAGTCTGCAGAAAATAAAGGTAACTATAGCAGTAAAGTATTAGTCTAAGGAACACCCAGTCAGTTTCATATAGAGCTCAGACTGAATTGTTTATTGTTTGGTTAGTTACTATTTTTTGTTAATGCTGTTATTGTCAACACTAAAGGTGACTAACTGCAAGGAAATAAACACTTCTAATTTCTTTTTTAATCTAGTTTGTTTAGTTTAATTGTTGGGCTATAGTTTGCATGTAGTCATTGTCTCTCATAGTTGTTTTCCTTGTCTATTTTTTTTTCTCTAATAGGAAAAAAAGATGTTTTTAAAACAGGAGAGTACTGTAAAATCAGAACAATATCAGAATCGGGACTAATTACCTGGAATTATTTCAAAGTCGTGTAAATATTTTTCCTCATGTGGGAAAGTAGAGCCCTTACAGTGCAGAGTTAAAATGTATGCAGTGCAAGCAGACATTTAAAAAGTATGTTTTTCACATAAAGCTAAAACAAGCTCCAACAACTCTGTGGAAAGGAATTCCAATTTAAAGTTCATTTTAATAAAACAAGTGAAAGAAATACTTTTATGCGTAGAATCCAGCTATAATTTTAACTGAAAGCAGCAAAATAAGAATTATGTAATAAGACTGTTAAACCTTCAGTTAGATAGTATAACAGAAGAAATTAATATCAGTATCTCAGAAAATGCCAAAATCCAAATCACTTCCTTCTCCCTTTGGTAAATTCACTTTCCTTTGCTTAAATGGTTTACTTAAAAGCATAAGCAATACTTATCAAATCTTTGAGTACCCCAAAATGAGCATATGTTTAGAGGAAACATCAGGGGAAAAAATCCTCGAAGTTTTTGACATGAACTATGAGAGCTTTAGCAAGGGTTTGGGGTTTTTTTTTTCAACAGTGGTAAGATTTTTTTAATTAATCACTGCAGCCCCTTCACAGCGTAAGACTTGACTTTGTTCTCCTCCTCCCTGAAAGCTTCTTTGGATGAAATAAAGTTTTTTTGACATGTAGTAACTGCGCTAGGACTTCTAGAGGTGTCTTGGTAACCAGTATAAACTAGAAATTTTATTTATGTTAAAAGTGAATGTTCTGTCTGTTAGCACATTTGACATCATTAAGTCACAAGGCAATTATATCTTTGATTTTAATAACCAGAACTTGAAGCAAGTATCTCAAAGCTAACAGACCCTTTGCATTCTCTACTAAGACCTCTAATGTAACACAGAATCATAACCTGACTTAATAGTTTTTGTATCAAGCGTGTTACTTCTGAACATTGGATGTAACCTTATGATTATGAATATAAAACTATTTGTGTATCACATAATCATGATAGTAACAGTTTAAAATATTGGTAGTTAAGATTGCTAAATTCCTTTGGGTCCTAAATGCTCACAAAGCCTTTTAAGAACATTATTGCAGTACACTGGAATTTTAAAATCTGGCTATTTCCTTACATTTCTGTATAATTCTTGCACATGCATTTTCCAATACACTTCTTGCACACTAGCATCATGCAACATTACTGTGAAGAAAAATGCTTTCAGACAAGGAAGGTAAATTCAGGAATGCAGAGGGATAAATCACACAGCTTAGACGTTGCTGAGGGTCTAAGCATCAGCCCACACCTCTACACACTTGTATGAAATCCAGCATCACTGTCGTCCATGGGCAAAGCTTCAGTCCTGTGGGTGTCTCGGAGCGGGCCCTGGCTGCTGCTGTTACCTGTGCCAGGATACTGGTTCCCTGAAATGAAACTGTTACCTCTTTCTGTGCCATGGAGATTTAAAGTATAATACCTGACTAACTGACCAGTGATTGTCTCATGAAATGCAGAACATACAGGTATTCCTTAAGCCTTAATATGTACATTATTTAGACAGATGGCACTTCTGGATTAAGTGGCTGTTCTCCCTAAATCCTGTAAATAGGAACAATATTAAAATGGAATGTACTGAAAAATGAGTTAGCATTTTAACGAGGAGAGACAATAAACTCTTATCCCTGTTAAATTTTCTGAGAGCTTGCTGTTCACCTTTGTGGGGATCTAAAGTTCACCAATTAGGTTCTTTTGTTACTATTTTTAGGAATTCTTATCAGAAAGTGAGAATGGACAACAAAAACTAAACCTGGTAACATCCAAAGGAGAACTACTGTGCTCTGTTTTACCAAAGGAAAAGGCTAAAGTTATCCGGGACAAATCTGCTACAGCTAAAGAAGATTGGAAAAATTTTGTCACCACCCTCCACCAGAAAGAATCTGCATTGGAGGTATTGAACCAGTCACAGTGGAGAAATATGGAATCTAATTTCCCTCTTTGCTTTTGGTTTCACACAGAGCAGTTTAGATTTCGTACATAGCAGTAAGTGTTTATGATGTGACAGAACTAATATATAGCTATTTTCGAGAAGTCTTATTATTCTAGTTACATTTTACTTTTGTTTATTTATGTCCTTAGGACCTGATTCCACTTGAAGTGGGGTGTTTCATGCAGAAGGGTGTTGTTCAGAGTAACTGAAGGTAGCAAACACAGCAGTTGCTCAGATTCATTAACCTGAGTCTCATCAACTGTACTGGATTACTAAAACACATTTTCTTTTTTAAGGACTGTTTTAGCACCATTGCTGATTGAATAGTCCCAGTACAGTGGGTAAATATTGTCTCTTATTGCAAACTGGTGAAATTTAATGATTTATTTGAACAACTTTTTAAATAAACCTCAGGACCTTTCTCTGTTCAGAACTCATAATTCAACCAGCACAGAAGATGAATATCTTAAAAACATAATCTCTTTTAAGGTCATAGGTGTTAGGGTCAAAAGGTCTTAGCTGGAATTCCCTGCATAGCGTAGGAGAATTAAAGTTCCTAGGCATTCGTAATTCAGACCAATGCCTAGCCAGCTGAGAAAAAGTTCAAATAAAATAAGTACATCATGCAGGAAAGCCTTTAAAAAAAAATATTTTAAGGTAGCAAGAACTTGCCTTTTTTTGTCTCAGGGTTGCCATGGAAAGAAGATGTCCTTAGAGGTTAATCTTTTTAAGCGAAGCATTTTTCAGTCTCATAGGCTTAGTGTTTCATTGTGATGTTTCATTAAAGTGATAAGGCTATAGCTAAAAAGAAAACTAAATCAATCAGTGGGCAAAAAAAATACAGAAAAATTACAGAAACTGTTCTGTTCAGGTTTCTATTCCATATGAATTATTTCAGATGCTCTTTTTTTTTTTCATATCGTGCAGAATAAGCCTACAAGAAAAATATACAGGCCCTGAGGGAGTGCCTGCATATGCCTTTAAGCACACATTTTTATAACCAAAGTTTTATACTAAAAAAGAATATAATCAGTAGTGAACCCCAGGATTGGGTTGAACTTTGTCACACATCACCTAGGAATAGTGGCAGCCCATTTAAGGAGGGGTCAGTGTGAATGACTGCAGTCAGCTGCTAGGTAACTAGGTATCCCAGGTTAGCCTTTCTTCAGACTGCCTTAGCTGTGTGAGTTACATAGAGTTAAAGCTCATAAGATCTGTAAAGCTTTCAGTTCAGAAGAAATTTGCTTCAGCCTCCCCTCAACTGTGTAGACGTATCTTACGTCGTTGCCTGTATTTTGCCTTTTAAAGAGATGCTCTCTCAGATGTTTCTGTCAGTGTCTGTTTGTGGGATGGGAAGGAGCAGAGCTGGTGTAATTTATTTTGAAGAGCTGTGTAGGCTTTGGCTGCAATTGTATATCCTTTTTGTGTGCTTAATCTGTGTGTTGTTCATTACAGTTATGGCCAGTGCAGTGGGACTGTTGATAAAATTGTGCATGTCTCCCCAGAATTTAAAGATCCAGATGAAGGACTTTGAAGCAACTGCTGAGCCTCTGCAGGAGTGGCTGACCACAACAGAGAGAATGGTGCAGGGGACTAGCAGTCGGCTCCATGATCTTCCTTCCAAGAGGAGAGAACAGCAAAATTTGCAGGTGATTTCTCATAAGCCTTTCTAGCACAGCCAGACTTTCCTGTCCCGTCCTCCTGGCCTCACTGATTCCTTACAAAAGCTTGATCATTCTAGCATCCTGACCTATAAATAAGATGACAACTGGTTTCAAGGATTGCTGTTGATGATCCTGTTCCATCAGGTTTTGCATCTCCACATTTCTTCTGACATGATGCTTTGTTGCTGTAGCCGTATGGTGTGCCTTTCTCAGCAAGCTTGCCATATGTCACTTCTATTTTTCATGGAGCCTTCATGCTTCTCTGTTTCCTGCTTTCTTGCACCCACTCATAATATTAATGTGCTTGTGCTTTACAGTCTGTCCTTGAGGAAATAAGCTGCTACGAGCATCAGCTCAACAGGCTAAAAGAGAAAGCTCAGCAGCTGTGGGAAGAGCAAGCTGTCAGCAAAAGCTTTATGCGCAGAGTGTCTCAGTTGTCTTCTCAGTATCTTACTCTAAGCAATCTGACAAAGGTAATGCACCCAGTGTATGTGCTTTTAAGTACTTCATTTGATGTATGTAGGTAAAAAGAAAGACTGAAAGATTGCAGTTGTCTTGCTTGCCTGCTCTGCGGTATGTCTGAGCTATCTTGTCTTTCACACTGGCTTTGAAGAGTGGGAAGTAAGGACCTGTATAATCCCATGGATTGTCAACAATTGTGATTTTTTTTTTTTTTCAATTTTTTGAAATGTGTTTTGATTAAGAACTAAACTATACAATAATCAGGTTTGATTTTGATTATTGCAAGCATTGAGGACATTTCAGTTTTGCAATAAGTGGCATCTGAAAGAAGTATTTTTCAAAACTTAGGGAGGTTGTTTTTTTTTTTTTAGAAAATACAGAATACAGAGAAGTTATTACTTCTTTGTGTCCTATAACAATGATTAATTATTTGCATTGTAAATGTCTTCATCTAAAACTAACAGTTTGGTCTTCTAAAAAGATTACCTCTTGGGCTGCTTTCGAAGATTCAAGGGGAAGGTATAGGCCAGACTCTAAAGCATCAGGCTAGGAACTGAGAGTTTAACCTAATTCTGTTTTGCTGAGTGGTCCTTGGCACACTTCACCGTTTAATAGTTCTGCTATGTTTGTTGTATAAACAGATAAGAAGGTCTTTGTATTAGGACTGTTATTTTTCACGAAGTTCCAGGCATGAAGGAGGTCTGATATTGAATTAGGCTTATAGTTACTACAGTAATGAGAATAATTAAGGATATAGGAAGTGTGTTATGGGATAACAATTCAATTCAGAAAGTATTTATGTTTGTGCAATTGCTAGTTTGTTAATTTCTACTTTTTCTGTGGAAATAAAAATTATAAAGCATATCTAGAGCTGTATGACTTACTGATTGTATACATGGCCATAATAAATTTTCGTGACAGCAGAATGAGAAAGGGAAAGATGCATGAGTTATTAACATTGGCTTATGTGGACAGAACTTGTAGGAGTAGTCAGGATGAGAAGAAGGAATCTGAGGCAGAAGATACGTCCAGCCTATGAGAGAAATCCTGAAATTCTCTGGATAGCCATGGGCGCTTAAGAAAGATCCTCTTTGTAACTTCCTAAGCCTGTTTCACTGGATTGACTTTAGTTCTCTGTCACCATGTGAAATACACTCTGCTCTGTATTCCTGTTCAGCTCAGGCCCTTTCGCAATGTAACTTGAGCATTTATTTTTGATTCATGTGAGTATCAGTAATTTTTCAGAATGGTTATACCAATGGGAGTCATTGAGGAAAACAGGTCTTTCTTTTTCAAGTGTCAACAAAATAATGTTGCTGCAGTGGCATAGCTTCACAGGCTTAAATATGTCTTATATGTTGACAGATTTCGTAAGTTATCTTCAGTTGCAAAACTGAAATGGAGCTGAGGTGTGATTTACCAGATGTTCAAAAAAAGTGAAACCAGAAAACTCTCACCTACTTTGGGTGAGAGGAAACAATTAGAGGAAGCTTTACATTTAGAAACAAAAAAAAGGCATTTCTGAAATTTTCAGGTGTCTGTTTTGTTTGGACAACTCAGTTGCGTGAGTGTATGCAAAATTCATTCCATGCTCAAGTAAGTGTACTTGTAGTTATCAATATATGAAGAGAATTTCTGAGCATAGTTTATGGAACTCATTCTGAAGTCTGTATGTACGTATGGGGAATAAGCAATCCTTTGAATAGCTGCAGGTGCTAATTGCTGTATGAATTGCAGGAGAAAGTTTCCAGGATGGACAGGGTCGTAGCAGAGCACCAGCAGTTCTCACAGAGTGTCAAGGACCTCCAGGACTGGGTGGCTGATGCAGTTCACATGTTGGATTCCTACTGTCATCCCACAGCAGACAAGAGTGTTCTGGACAGCCGGATGTTAAAGCTAGAGGTATGGAAACACTGGACTCCAAAACCTGCTCTTTTTAGATCTTGTAAGAAGAATGCAAAATACTTTACATTAGTTGTTGCATATTAGTGTAAAGACTGTTGTTGTTCAGACACTCATTATTAGAAGTTTTCTCTAATAAGGTTGTGGGGACCTTTATGAAATGGAAAACTGCACATATACAAATTCTTAAAAAAACTCAAAAGACATTGTGTGACTGCTGAAGGTTAAATGGAATAGGTAGGATATTCCCTTCTATCAGTTTAATACATTATTTCCTAGATCTTACAGGTGATATGGATGATTCGGAACACCTTTTCCTGTAATTGTTTGCTTGAAAAATGATGACTACAATTAAGAAGTAGTATATATCAATATAATGGCACAAAAGTTGTTGAAGAGCAGTACTCAGAAAACAATATTTTTCATATCGTCTCAAATTTTGAACCATGGCCAAAATATGGACAAGTCTTCAAATTTATAAGGATACAGCAAAAAGCAAGAGTTTGTAGCAAAATACTAAAATTATTTTTTGCCTTTTGTTTGAACCTGAGTCTTTCAGGTTCATGCTTTCAGGCTTTTCATGACTTTGCTTAGTATTAGAAGCTGTTAGTTTGCAACTGCACAGCTCCAGGAGCTGAAGTCTCTAAGCTGATGTTGCTGCTAGCCTACTGAGTTTAGATGTTGGTACCTTTGTGTTGCAAATAGATCCTAGAGTTGTAGAACAGTATTTCAGCCTTGTAGAAGGTCTGTGTCATCACATCTTGTTTTGTCTATGAATGAATACTCCTGTTTTCCATCTAAATGACATTCCAAAGGGAGTGTTAATTTTTCCACCCATCAGTACCTTCTCTGATGCACTGTAAGTTCCTTTACAGATTCCATGAAAACTTCCTTGTCAACTAAGATTTTATTTAATGGCCTAAATCTACCCTTTGAAAGTCACGTTTTCCATGTGAAGCCCAGCTGTGAACCCCACTGTCCCTCTTCCAATTGACTGTGCAAGCTGCTAAATTTGGTTGACTCCTTTTCCTGTAAAGCCAGTTAGTACATTCATGCCCAATCCACTCACTTTTTAGGGACTGCTAGCAGTGAAACAAGAAAAAGAAATCCAAATGAAAATGGTCCTGACAAGAGGAGAATCTGTTCTGCAACATACTTCTCTGGAGGGAGTACCAGTGATTGAAAGGCAGCTGCAAACCTTGAAGGACAGCTGGGCTTCTCTTCTATCTGCTTGTATCCAATGCAAGAGGTAAGAAGGGCGTGAGGTGCAGAATGATGCTTAGCAGTAAAGCACTGTCAAAATTTTTGAGAAGTTAATTCCCAGAATTTTATTATTACAAGAGTCAAATTCATATGAAATGACTGTATGTGCCTAACGTTACAGGTCTATAGACAGTAAGTGGCATATGTAAAGTAGAAAAAGGAGAGGAAACTGTGAGGGATCTAAGCTTGTTAACTCTTACTGTCAATATACTCTTAAAAGTGGATTCCATGTTCATAACCTTGTTGTAAATTTGACTTTGAGTTGCACTTGGTGCCTTGAATTGTTCTCAGAAATGAGGAGATCTTATCACGGACATTAATGGTTGCTCTGTCAGGATCATGTCTGGTTTTCCACTTGCTAGCATTTCGCAGAAGGGACTGTAATTACACTGCCCAATAGTGATTCTCAAAGTGACAGAATAAAGAAATACAGGAGAAAAAATTGCAACCACCTTTGGTGGAGTATCACTAGCTGCAAATATTTCAATTTAAACAACCAAGGTAATTAAAGATTGGAATGCAGCAACTTTTGAATGTATGTAAAGGGACGGAAAATTTCTGATTATGGATCTTATGCTTAGAGTTGCATTTTATTTAATAAAGCTAGAACACATCAGCTAGCGGTATAACTTACAGACCTCCTCAATATTCCAAGCTTGGAAAACTTAGTTTCTCTTTATCAAACAGTACTCCTAGTTAAAACTTGTGGGTTTTTAACAGCTCTGTCTCAGATTGCTTAGCTTGTGATATATCTTCCTTATAAATAGAGTCTAGAATAACTGTATATGGCTATATCTCATTGCTTAAATAGCCTGAGAACCTCCGCTATCACAACAAACATATATTTTTAAATTACAGTCAACTGGAAGGAGCTCTTTCCAAATGGACAAGTTACCAGGATGATGTTCGTCAGTTTTGCAGCTGGATGGATAAAGTAGAAGCAAGTATGAATGCTTCTGAAAGGCAATATGCTGAACTGAGGGAAAAAACAGCTGCCCTCAGCAAAGCAAAGGTGTGTGTGTTTGCTTTACAACAAACCAGCAACAAGCCTGTATCACCTTATAAACAACAAAAAAGGCCTAATAACTGCTGAGATTAATCTGTGGTCATGTTTTAATGCTGCCCATTCATAAATGTGTTCTTCTCTTTCTGTTTCACAGCTACTCAGTGAAGAGGTGTTGAGTCACAGCAGCCTGTTGGACACGATTGAAGTGAAAAGAAGTGGTATGGCTGAGCATTATGTTACTCAGCTTGAACTCCAGGACCTTCAGGAGCGATATAAGTTCCTCAAGGACAGGACAAGGGTACAGTTTTTCTTGATAGCACTCCATCTCATTTTGTTGGCAACAAGGAAGAAGAGAAAGTCTTTTCATTGATCATTTATTTTACAGTTAAATGAGGAGTAAAAGTTTGGGGACAGCTGTAACAATTTAACAGAAAGTTATTAGAGTGGTTTATCAATCTGTCTTCCTGTACCACTGAGCTTCAGATCTTTTTAGAAAGATTCTAAAAATCCAAAACTGAAAAAATCATCAGGTGAATAGTCTGAGGAATTCCAGGTCAAAAGTCTTATTGACTTCAGCGCAGATATGAGTTTACCCATTGTGACTGAAAAGCTGGAAGCATCTCTGAATCTGTGGTTTGCATAAATGTATGTTTAGTAGTAAATGCAACCAATTAATCAAGTAATTCACAAGTGGTTGACAACTATAGAAGCTTACCATTGAACACAAGCCCTATTAGCAAGTAAACTGACTCTGATGTCGTAAAACCCAGCATGAGAAGTACTACATTTAATGATATGTGTTGATATCATAGAACTGGAAAAGATTAGGGCATATACAGATGAAGACCAAGATGGGTTTTAATGTCAGATGTAGGATAAAGAAGTAATAATAAAAGACCTGGTGATACTTTTAAAACTAGATGATTATCTCCACTTAACCCAAATGCTTCTGTGGTAATTAAGTAATGCCTAATGTATGCTTAGATAGGCAACTCTTCTTCATGACAGCAGTACAGTAATATGGAATTTTGTTGTCTCAATGATGTCTTCATCCTTCGGAAAGGGCCAAAATTAAGTTTTTCAAATGAGTAAGTGATTCGCTGCTTTGTGGTACTCTCTTCCACAACTGTAAAGAATGCAGTGCACTGTCTTTCTTTGGACCTTCTGTGAATGGGCTCACTCAGGTTTGCAAGACAGAGGAGTAAGTCCTGGGAAGAGCTAGTGAATACCTAGTATTCCTTTTAGCGTGAGGATCTTCTAACTTTTACCTTTTTCTCTTGCACAGAGCTATACAGACTGCTTCTATTTGCTCATCTTGAGCAACAGCATGGGAACAATGAGAAATGTATGTTAGTTCAGAGGCGAGAGCTCTGCACCTCTTTACTCATGTAGCAAGAAGCATCCCTTCTTTCTCTTCCCAGCTAATACCCCAGATCACTTTGATCTTCCGCACTCCCAACTGTGGTGATGATGTTAAGTGTCAGGAGTACAATGAACGTTTAGAAAGAAATTCAAAATTCAAAGCAAATAGCTGGAAAGTAAAGAATAGTCAAATCCTTTAATAATCCTTTGGCCAGGGGGGAAACCTGACAAGCTTCCCCAATGGTTTGTGACCCATGCTTGAGCAGACCAAGACCTGTAATTCCCTGCAACCACTGTCAAGAGGCAAGAGAATTAGTTCCTCTTTCCTTCTTCCCACTACTGGGCATGGACAGGCCTTTTAAAAGATTTATAACAGTCCTATTCTCTTCCTTACTCCCACTACCCAGACCTGTAGAAATAGTTAAAGCAGACAGTAGGTTCATGGCTGCTGTTTATGATAGTGTTTTTCTTCTTGTGTAGCCTGCTGCCCTGGGATGCAGCCTCTCTTGCCTCCATCTAAACTCGATTCCCTGTTCCCATGATTTCTTAGAGAATGTGAATTACTTGCAATGTACTTTTCTTGTGCTTAAAAGACTGGTCTAGTGCTAACATATGATGCCTTTCCTGCTGTACCCCACATATAGTAATATTTTAGTGCTGGGTTGTAAAATTGTTGTAACTTGCTCACTCACGTACACAGAAGACTTGCAGTGTGTTTCTCACTGTGCTGTGTATGGGCTGCCCACAAAGGACTTGGTTGGTCTTCAAACCTAGATACCCTTAATAGAAGATTACTATTCCATTGCCAAAAAAATTAATGCAAAGAAAAAAACACAATTTCTAAGCTCATACTCTTATTAATCACTTCAGTAAGGTGAATTTAATTTGGTATGGAAATTAAGAAGGTTGTTTGTTGTTAGACACTAAGATGTTATTTCAAAATGATCCCAGGTCAAAACTTCATATACCAGATCTCACAAACTTACATGAAGAATCTTTTAGGATAAGTATCTTTATCCCCACATTTACCCACTCTTTCATTGTAATTAATCAAACCATCCTCAGAATCCAAGTACCCTTGAATTCTAGGAAAGCTCAGCATCAGATAGGAGTTTTTCACCTTGATGGAAGTCCAGGCTTTGTTTTCTTGGTTTGATGATACACTAATACATGTAACTGTATGTAAATATTTTAACAAGCAGGAGGCAGTAACAAAAGCTGAAGGACTGCTTAAATTACATGAAGAGTATCAAAGAAATCTCAAGACCTTTGAAGTATGGCTGGGGGAGGGACAGGAAAAACTTGACTGTTTATCACATCTTGATGGTGATGCCCAGAAACAGGAGGCAACACTCCGAGACTTACAGGTACATATTGTGTGACACCCTAAGTTAAAAAAAAAAAAAAAAAAAAAATCATACTTGTAAAATAACAGAATACTATTAATTACCAGACAAAATTACATCTCTTTTTTTGTCTCAAGAACAGCTTGGAATCTTGTTATATTTAAGTCCTTTGCTGCTCAGAAGTGGTTCCAGTAAAGTCAGTGGGAACATTGTCACTCATTTCCAGAAAGAAATGTCAGGCCCTGAATGAAATCTCCAGGCATACTAATGCTTTTCTGCAAGCACTGAGTTTGTTTTAGATGCTGGCTTACCTCTTCTTTTTCCTATTTTTCATACAATATCAAAGTACTCTTTTCATTGGGTTTTCATCTTTCATTGCTTACAGTGCAGATGCATTTACTTTCAGGCAGTTCCAGTCATGTAGGCTAGCTCCCATGGTAAAGTGGGAAGACTATTACTGAATAGTTAAGTGACAGTGAAGGATGAAGCTATAGTACTGCAGTAATTTTACACTTATGATCTTAAGCTGGCTTAAAATACTTTCATACCTGTTGTTGAATTAGCAAAAGGTTTGTACATGGGTTATGAAATATTTATTACTTTATTCAGGATACTGGAAAGGTCTTTGTATGATCAGGGACTCTACTTATATGTCTTGTTATTGTAGTTTACAAAAGCTGAATCCATTTTGAAGATCTTAGTTTATATTTGAGATATATATTCAGACAACACACAACTGTATTTTGTTAAGGTAATCTGGTTATGTTTTCTAATCAGATCAAATTCCTTCATATTTTCTAATCAAGTTCTATTAAGCATGAAAATGCCATGCATGTCCAGAAGAGGTTATCAAGAATTATTTTGGAAATATGTGTCAAAGATGTGTAAAAAGAAATAGGTTTACTTGTGGTTTGTTTGTTTGTTTGTTTTTAAAGATTGAAGCCTTGTTCCTTGTTTTTAAACAAATTCAATTTTAGAGTCAGTCTTGCAGTCTGCTTGCCACAAATGGAAAGTTTTGTATTTAAGGCTGTGATGAATAGATTGCACCCATCCCATGCCAGTTCAGGCAGCTGATGTTTCAGAACTGATGATAAACATAGCAGGAGGGAAAAGAGTTTAATGCATGCTTTGTCAATAACTTTCTCCACATGTTGATAATAGTGATATTCGGTTTTCTTTGTAAGTGAGCATGCTGTCATAGGTCTTCTTCGAGATGGTGTTCAACCATAGATAACAAAAGGGAATATTTAGGTAACATGAGGTAACTGCTTTGGTGTTAACTAGAACCAGGGCTTTGTTTGCCACATGTGAATGAAAGTTGTTAACATAGAGTATGCATCCATAACTCTGCATTTACAGGAGCTGCAGGTCCGCTGTGCAGAAGGACAAGCATTATTGAACACCACTGTCCATTCCAGAGAGGAAGTGATTCCCTGGGGCATTCCCCAGATAGAAGACCGAGCTCTGGAATCCTTACGGCAGGATTGGCAAGTTTATCAGCACAGGCTTTCTGAAGCAAGAAGCCGGTTAAATGCCACTATGAGCAGACTGAGGTTAATGGAGAAAAAATTTCAGCAGGTTAATGACTGGCTAACAGATCTGGAGAAAAAAGTTGCTATCAGGACTGAGAGGCAGTCTGGTAGAGCGACAAAGGAGATGCAGCTTCAACAGATGAAGGTAAAGAATATAGTTAAGGCATTCCTTAAGCAAAATAGCATGTGAGGTTTGCACGTGAATTCCCGGTTGCACTGTAAAAATGACAGGAAGCATTGCAATTTATTCTGAGGTGGTAGCTAGAATGATGGATGGAAGAGAGCTTTGTGCCTTCTGGGTCCAGATTCCTCCCATTTTACTGGTAAAGTCATGGCTATATCGATGTTGAAGTCTCATAGGGAGATCTGGAATTCATATGCTCTGTGGTATATGAAGGCATAACTGAGGACAAAGATTGGTTCTGGAGTGGGAAAGTGTTAATGTTGTAACAAGAGTAAAATGTGACCAACTGTGTTGTGAAGTCTCTGCTGTGTTGTAATAATTCTCCTTTAATCACTGCAAGAAGACATGGTTCTGAATAAACACAGGAAGCAGATTTGAAGAGATTCAAGGTTATGCTTTACAGACACCTTTAAAACTTTGGGCAAATTCTATAGGAAGTCCAGTTTGCATTTCTATTATTATTGGGGGGGGGGGAAACTTAAAAAAGTGTTGGATCTATTGTAAGTAAATGCAGTCCATATAGTATGATGAAACTTTCAGCATATTTGTTATGTTAACCTTCATCAGATTCAGTTTTATTCTCCAGTTGCAAATCCATTTTTACAATGTTGTATTGTTTTCCATTTCAATGATCTCCCGACTTAGTTACAAATAAATTCCTGTTGTGTTTAAGATGTTTGAATCTGTCATAAAAGCTGGATAATGTCTTTGTCATAGAAGTGGCATGAAGAAATTATGATTTACAAAGATGATGTGGAGGAAGTTGCGGTATTGGCTCAGCAAATATTAGAGGAAAGTTTCACTGCAAGTACAATGGGAAGCCAAGCTACACAGCTTACCTCTCGCTACCAAACTCTTCTTCTTCATGTCTTGGTAAGTAATGAAAATTAATTATTAGTAGCATTGTAAATTGTCAGTTAAGAGGGAATTGCAAACAGACTTTCTTAATTAGATTTTATCAGAGTTTATTTGTTGCTGTAGACTCAATAATAGAATATTCACATCTATATTCATATATTCACATATATATACATTTTTACACACACACATATATAGATTTCATTACACTAAAAGTATTAGAGAACCATAATTGGGATAATGCCCTTTCAAAAATATTCTGTATTAATCAGACGTTGTTCCTGTCTTTTTTGGCAGTTTCAGGACAGAAATTCAAAATTCAGTATGTTTGAATGCTGAATGACTTCTACAGAAATTTTTTCAGGTTATCACTGAAATACCTAGGTACAGGGAAAATATGAATAGATAAGGTACAGTCTTTAGGTCACTTTAAGTAACAAGTGTGTCATAGTACCATAATCACAACTTGCAATTCAAATTTCAAAATATAAGTACATTTTCATTTTTTAATATTAACTCAGTTTTAACATTAGTGATTGCTATATATACATCCTGACAAGACCCCAGTGAGAATTATCCACTAGATATGAAAGAACTCAAAACTGGTGTGTTTAAACTTAGTATATCAGGTTTTATTAATCAACAGCAATTTATTGGCATCTTTCGCCAGCAGCAATGATAAATATCTGGGTGGTTCTTGTTTCCTCCCCCTACCCCCGTATTTGTTTGAAGGAGCAAGTAAAGTTTCTGGAAGAAGAGATACGCTGTATGGAGGAGTCAGAACTGGCTTTTAGTGCTTACACGAATTGGTACGGAGCTACGAACAAGAACTTCAGAAATGTGATCACCAAGTTTGACATGATTGATAAAACAGCAATGGAGAAAAAAGTGCAGAAACTAGAGGTACAGCTTTCTTGAATGCATTTTTGTTTTTCTGTTCACCGAAAAGAGACTATATTTTAACTTGCATTTTAACAGCTGCTCAAAATTCTGACTTCACCCTGCTCAGAGAAGTGGGTGGATAAAGTCCACCAAGTATAAAACTTTCTGTTCTCATGTCATATACACATGAGATCACAGTTTGGTTGGTGAAGTTTTGAATAGTCCTAAATAATATAATACTATCCTCCCATGAGACATGTTCGTATGTGTTTAGTTTTAGGTTAAAGCTTAAAATAAATTCCCTTTGCAAGAAATCCTGTCATGTATATTTTATACCAGTATGTACTGTGGCAAGAAGTGCTTTGTATTTCTCCTCATTGAAATAACTTAGTAGTACAACTCACATTTCATCTCTGAGTTGTAGATGAGTTTTTCATATGTCCTGCAGCTTAAACATAATATATTAAGGGAAAATTTTAATCTATTCCAGAATTTGGACTATGAATCCTCTCCTGATAGCCCTCAGTTTCTGTGTTTGTCTTCATCAGCCCAGTGCAGAACAGAAGTATTTCCTTTTTCTGGTTCCTTCCAGTTTACTATACATTAAATCCAGGCAATTTTTTTAATGAAAAATCCATTTCCCTAGCAATTCCTTCTGTGTCCTTAGCAAAATAAAAATAAAAAAAAATTAGCCTCTCACTGCTAATAGAACTACAGTGACTATTGAAGGAAAAAAAAAAAGGCAAGAGCTTGCATACACTTTCTGTTAACGAACACTTCCTTCACAGCTGCTATTGAGTGATATGGACATAGGCCACAGTTTACTGAAATCTGCCCGTGAGAAGGGGGAGCGAGCTATAAAGTACATGGAAGAAAATGAAGTTGATCAGTTAAGAAAAGAAATTGGAGATCATGTGGAACAGCTGGAAGAGCTGGCTGGCTCCATCAGGAAAGAGCACATGACTTCGGAGAAGTGCCTTCAGCTGGCAAAGGAGTTCTCAGACAAGTACAAGACACAGACTCAGTGGGTCACGGAGTACCAAGCCATGTTACATGCTCCAGCGGAGCCAAAGAGCGAACTCTATGAGAAGAAGGCCCAGTTGTCCAAATATAAGGTAAAAAGAGATTATATCATTGTACTATCGAATAAATTTTCACCTAGTGACTCACAGCAAATCCTCTGATCCAGGTGTCTGCTCAAGTTTCTTCAATAGATGTGTCAGATGTCTCTGATCTGTATGTCCAAATCAGCATGAAAGTGAAAAGATGTATGATACCTGCATCTATGAACCAGAGTGAGCACCTGGATTTGAAACGTGAATGTCCTAATAAGGCTTCAACATCTGAAAATTTCCCATTGTGGAGCAAAATTCTTTTATGAGTACACATACGAGCAATTCCATTGATATCAACAGATTAACTCTTGTTTAAACAAGAACAGAAATCTGTTGGGTCTTTGTTCACTGCAGACATTGCCTCTGTCTACATTGGCTTAATCAGCTTGCTGGTTAAGCTGAATGTCCCAGCTTAACTGACATCTAAGACAGTAAGCTGCTATGGCCCATTCTGTTTTTAGTTAGGATTTTGATGAAGTGGTTTGGTTTTTTTTTCCAGTCATAAAAATGAGTAGAAAAAGTTGAGAACAAACCCCATTTCTTCTCTCAATGATGTTTTTGTGAAATACTCCAGAATTACAGGTGTTTCATAAGATGTATACTGGGTCTGGCTGGGATGGAGCTAACTCTCCTCAAAGCAGCCCGTATAGTGCTGTGCTTTATATATGTGGCCAAAACAGTGTTGCTAACAAACCAATGTTTTGGCTATTGCCAAGCAGTACCTGCATGACATCAAGGCTTTCTCTCAGAGGCAGCCCGCTACCCCTCGCTGGCTTCAGTACTCAGAGCCATACGTCATAGCGGAGTGCTTGCTTTCCGCACGTTTAGGGAGCTGGTATCTCTCTGTCATTTGATAGATGTTTGCATGTGCCATGCTGTCTGAGCCAGTGGCACAACGACAAAACAGACCAGATTGCATGCTCTTGAAATTACAGTCTTTTGCGCTCGTCTACATATGGTCTTCTTAAGGGATGGCTTTGGTGATACTTTCCTGCCTATTTACAGAATTTGTCTGTTTTATGCCTAGCACTTTCCTGTTCACACATATTAACTCTCTCTGCTTTACCAGCTCCAGTTCATCCCATTCAATATTTATCTTTTAATTCTTGCTTGCATTGTAGTCCATACAGCAGACCGTTCTGTCCCATGAGCCTTCAATAAAATCAGTGATTGAAAAGGGAGAAGCACTTTTTGATCTGATCAATGATGTGACCCTAAAGAACAACATTCAAGACCTTCAGAGCAGTTATCAGGAACTCTGCAGCACAACAAAGGTAAAAAGTCAGGAAGAAAACTCTAGGTTCTTCCAGTTTGCTGTATTTTTCCCTCTCTGTAAGAAGTTCACTATTTGTTTCATGCTGTCACGTCACACACTGTACACAGAACCAGTCATATTTAATTACTTTTTGGGGGTTGGGGGGGGGAATTATTAAATATGGAAAGAACTACCTAAATAAATCTAACGAGTAGCTGAAATGAATTTTCAGTGTGGCAAGTGAAGTCTTTGTAGCGCTAAGGGGAAATATGTCAGTGACTAGTTTGTACTGCTGTTACTGTTTTTAATTGCTTTGAATAGATTTCTAAATAAATTATTCCTGAAAGGGACAGATGCCCTTAAATTACACCATTTTGTCTCTTGTTTCTGCTAGATCTTAAACAAACCCTGTTTAATCTAGTTTAGTTGTTGAATGGAAGTCGCTGGAGAAAATGAGCTGCAAGGTGGATTTAATTTAATTCAGCAAGGGCATTATTAATTAACAGTGATTCATTAGTCCACATGTATGTAGTACTTTGAAAGACCTAATACATCTAAATACGTCCTAAAGTATGATTATTCCTAAAGCTTTTAACAGATTATACTCCTAAGAATGATAAGCTCTGCAAACCATGTTAGTACTTGTTTTTGACCTGAGTACCTTTAGTTGCCAATCTATCCACCAATAGCAGATGATTTTTTTTTTCACAGTTGATTTTTAATTCACAGACATTCCTCTGTTCTGTACCACAAAACTGGTAATCGTTGCATTAGATGTAATGTTGATGACTTAAATGTAGAGAAACTTACGAAAAATCTTTCTTAAAATGAATAAATTAACTCAATGTGTACATTCTTAACTTGCCTACCACAATCACAGGCAATACGTGCATGCAAAGGCTGTAACCAGCTAAGACCCTACCATAACATTTGGTAGGTCACGTGCAGTCTCTGAAAGAGCGTGTAAGAACTCTTTCTGAGTGAACTTAATGTCCAGTTGACAATGTTCCTTTCCTTAAAGTAAGGAGATCCTCAGTGTTTTCCTCAGTCTTCAAAATCTGGTGTTTCATCTGGAATGAAAACACTGCTCAGTACCATAGAGTTTATTCACACAAGGAATCCCTCTGATGTCTTCCTTAACAGTCTGATCGTGAGAGTCCCTCACAAGAATAGAAATTTAGTAGATAACTCTCTTACTGTGTTTTCAGGCTCTTGGTGGGTTTTGGTTTGGGTTTTTGTTTTTTTTTTTTGTAATTCCTCTAATTACCTGATTGTTTTATTTTGGTTATTGTGGACCTGCAGGCATACGTTGAAACCCTAGAGGTGAGAGTAAAAGAGCATGAGGATTACAATAGTGATTTGCAAGAAGGGGAGAAATGGTTGTTACATATGTCCAGCAGGCTGGTCAGCCCTGACCTCATGGAGAGTAACAATCTTGAAACAATCACTCAGCAACTAGCTAACCACAAGGTGGGTTTGCTGTTGGGTAAACTTCCTTTGTCCAGTGAAAGAGAATTTTTCTTCTTTGCTTCTCTGTCTCCACTCCAGAGCTCTAGTTATTTGTCATTCACCTGTTCTATTCCTCTTACTGCTAACTGTGTAGATAAGCATCAGTGTCATTAATGCAATTAACAAATCTACCTTCTTGTCAGCACTGTTTCTTTGATGGGACTGCATCTGCACAAGAGCTTTGTTGTACTTTGGTCTGAATTCTATGTCAGATTTTTGCTGAGATGTCCCAGGAAACAGACCACAAAAAGAAGATTAGGCTCATTTACTCCTAAGGAATTTTTTACTCTGGTACCTTTAAGGATAAACAAGTATTTCAAATTTGTGATTTTTTTTTTTTTTTTTTTTTTTTTTCTCTATTAGGTTGTAACATCTCCTCAATTGCTTTTATTCAAGGTATTGCTATGGTTGCTATTAATGATGATAATTCACCAGATCGATAGCCGATGCTTTCTAAAAGATAAAAGCAAGCAAAATCCAACACTGCCCACCACTCTCTCTGAAACAAGAGAGAGTGCAAATATTGAAATCTTTTAACTCATTGTGATTAGTGTGTTATTCTTCAAGTAACCTCCTTAGATAAAAATTTGGCTCCACCAAAGTCAATGGAAAGAACTGTCTACAGTGGAAGAGCTTATGGAGTAAGATATGATTCAGCGTCAGATTTAGTCCTTCTTACTAGACACAAGAGAAGATCGTGGAGCCCTGGAGAGTGTGCAACAAAGGAGGGTTAAGGTAGTCTTGAGGCATGAGCATATGGTGTTTACAGACTGTGACAGTGCTGCTGATGTTTCTGTGGGATATCTCTGTACAGACTTTTCACAATGACTTTACAATGCATATACACTCTAATAGCTTGACTATAACAATACACGTTGTCTGAAAACATCTTTCCGAATCTTTCCAAAGACAGAGCGTTTAAAAGAAAAAAAAAAAAAGCGCTCATATAAAAAGCTGTGACGCAGAACATATTTTAAGTGTAAAATATTTCTTCTAAAGTATTTTATCTATTTCTTAGGCTATCATGGAAGAAATTGCAGGATTTGAAGATCGTTTAAATGACCTTAAGAGTAAAGGCGACTATTTGATCAATCAATGCACAGAACATCTTCAAGCAAAATTTAAGCAAAACATACAAAACCATCTTCAGGGGACAAAGGACAGCTATTCTGCCATATGTAGCACAGCCCAAAGAGTAAGTCTTGCTTTAAAAATGTTTTTGTGCCATTTAATAATAACACACATTATTATTTCTCTAAGTACTTGTTTATTTAAATAATGTAAAACTCCTTCTACTGTTTCCATTCTAATTAAGCCTACAGGTTACTAATGTAGCACTTCATCATTACTGTGCTACAGTTGAATTCTTTGTGATCCAAATACCCACTGCGTATCAGTTTTTACCTTAATCTCTCCACGCCCTCACTACCTTCATGTTACATTAGCTTCTGACCAGCTGCAGCAAAGAAATTAGAACTATTCCACCTTCAAAAACTAGGGAGCAAATTGCACTCTTAGCATCAGTAGTATCATGGAATCACAGAATGTTTTGGGTTGGAAGGGGCCTTTAAAGGTCATTTAGTCCAACCCCCCTGCAGTGAGCAGGAACATTTTTAACTAGATCAGGTTGCACAGAGCCCCATCCAACATGGACTTAAATGATTTCAGGCATGGGGCATCTGCCACCTCTCTGGGCAACCTGTTCCAGTGCCTCACCACCCTCACTGTAAAAAATTTCTTCCTTATATCCAGCCTAAATCTACCCTTCCTTAGTTTAAAACCATTACTTCTTGTCCTGTCACAACAGGCCTTGCTAAAAAGATTGTCCCCATCTTTCTTGTAGGCCCCCTTTACTGCAATAAGGTGTCCGCACAGCCTGCTCTTCTCCAGGCTGAACAGCCCCAACTCTCTCAGCCTGTCCTCATAGGAGAGGTACTCCAGACCTCGGATCATTTTTGTGGCCCTCCTCTGGACCCACTCTGCCGAGTTTCAGCATCCATGCAGGGACAGGAATGACTCTCACACATTGATAGAATGCACAGTCGATTCGATTTATTGGTCTGCTTGCGTGGTTATATACATTTTCCATATCTGTACACGCGATCACGCTTATTTGGATAGGCTACAGACATAAATCACGCGCTGTTCACGCACCCCATATTCCCTTATGATTGGTAACTATGCACTAACGCCAATAGCAACAGACGGCCTGCATGTCCTTGAACACATCTTGTTTTTGCTAACCCACATCATGTGCACTATCAGAACTTTCTTAATTGCTATTCTTAGCTGCCCTTTCCAGTGGCCTGTTCAGTTATGCGAACTGTTTTGCTTAAGCGGCCTAGTCATGCTAACTCTCAAACTACATCGACCCCAACACCACTCTAACAGGTCCATGTCTTTCCTGTGCTGAGGTCTCCAGAGCTGGACGCAGGACTCCAGGTGAGGTCTCACCAGAGCGGAGTAGAGGGGCAGAATCACCTCCCTCGACCTGCTGGCCATGCTTCTTTTGATGCAGCCCAAGATACAGTTAGCCTTCTGGGCTGTGAGCACACATTGCTGTCTCATGACCAGTACCCCCAAGTCCTTTTCAGCAGGGCTGCTCTCAATCCTTTCATCCCCCAGCCTGCACTGATATTGGGGGTTGCCCTAACCCAGGTGTGGGACCCTGCACTTGGCCTTGTTGAAACTCATGAGGTTCACACAGGCCCACATCTTCAGCTTGTCCAGGTGTCTTTGGATGACATCCCGTCTTTCTGGTGTCTCAGCTGCACCACTCAGCTTGATGTCATCTGCGAACTTGCTGTGGTGCACTTGATCTCACTGTCTATATCACTGATGAAGATATTAAACAGTACTGGTCCCAGTGAGGACGTCTGAGGACGGTGACACCACTTGTCACCGATCTCCATTTGGACATTGAGCTGTTGACCACTACCCTCTGGCTGCAACCTTCTAACCAACTCCTTAGCCACCAAACAGTCCATCCATCAAATCCATATCTCTCCAATTCAGAGAGAAGGATGTTGTGGGGGACCGTGTGAAAGGCCTTACAGAAGTCCAGACAGATGACATCTGTTGCTTTTCCCTTGTCGATTGGTGTAGTCGCTCCATCATACAAGGCCACTAGGTTGGTCAGTCAGGACTTGCTCCTGGTGGAGCCATGCTGGCTGTCTCAAATCACCTCCCTGTACTCTAACATAGCTTCTAGGAGTATCTGTTCCATGATCTTCCCAGGCACAGAGCTGAGGCTGACAGGTCGGTAGTTCCCAGGGTCCTCCTTTCCACCTTTTTAAAAATGGGCACTATGTTTCCCTTCTTCCAGTCACTTAGTGTCAGTAGTTTGCATATGTACATAACAGGTCTTAATTATGTGCTAGGAAATACTGTCTCTCTTAGTAAAACCAGAATATGCAGTTAAGAAGAGCTAGCTGGGTCATTCTGTTAATCCAATTAGGAGATCAAGCCAGCATAATCTAAAAAACCCACCAAACAAAACCCCAAAAAGCAGACTTCATAGTCAGTAAGATTTGTAGAGGCAGGTAAAACCTCATACTGGATCAATGCCTAAACGTTGAACACGAATAGAGAAATAGGAGACAATGCTCTTGATTTCTACCTTTATTTTTTCTTTCCAGAAGCCGTGCCTTCCATCTTCTCCACAAATTAACAAGATGCAGTGAGAATTTACAGAGCTTTTATCCCTTGGTACTTTTATGTACAAGGGCTAAAATAACCACAGTATTAATACCTCTGTTTTATCTGCAGTTTTCAAGGTGGGAGAAGAGAGCCAGTAGTGGTCTTTGAAAATGCGATGATCTTGCGAAATATTTATTTTAGGTGTACCAGAGTTTGGAACATGAACTCCAGAAGCATGTTAATCATCAGGATACCCTACAACAGTGCCAGACTTGGCTGTCTACTGTGCAGTCAGAGCTAAAGCCAACTACCTGGCCACCTTTCAGCCTGGCAGATGCAGTTAAACAGGTAAAAGTTCAGCACTTGAAAATGCTCAGTTATCTTTAGTAAGGTGAGTTCAGGTAAGAGCTTTATATTAATAGAAATTGCATACCCTCTCTCTGACCTTCTTAGAGGGCTGTGTAACCTCCTTGTTTATTCCCAGCTCCAGAAGGAATACCTTGGATGAAAAATAACCTTAGGTGAAAAATCACACAGGGTTTTATCTAGCTCTGATTAATGCTTAGAAATATATTACCTGAAAAAAAGCTGGCTAATTAGATAAACTTGCTCAGATACTCTACAAATGTGTTTAGCAGAGAGGCTGTGTCTTTCTGCTTGTCCAGTTGCCCATCTGTCTATGAATGTCCCTATATGAGACCTGATTTTGTAGTACCATGGACACAGAGTCTGTTAACAGGCAATTAAAACAATTTTTCAGCTTAAGGGCATAGAACTGCCTCTGGCCCACATTAGCCGTTAATAATGCTGCTTCGTCATTCTTAGTAACTTGATGTATTTTACATCGGATTTGTAACTTGTTTGCGGATTAAACTGGTATGGTACTGAAAAAGCTGGAATTCAGGGCTGTCTCATCCACCATGTGGCTTAACAGAGATCTTGAAATGCTCCGCAGGGGCAGGAGGAGCAGGGGCTGGCAGTGGGACTGACAGGGCAGCACCTTCGTGATGAGGTGCAGACCTGCAGCACACAGGTGAGGAGAGCAGAGTCCTCTGGTGTCAGCTGTCCCAGGTGGAGGCAGGAGGTCAGGGCAGCAAGGCAAGGCCGGGAGGATCAGCCAGCCATAGATGCACCTATGGTGTAGCTCGGTCAGGTCCACCAGTGAAGACCTGAGTTTACGTGCAGCTCTCAAGCAAGGGGAAAGGTTTCTGAAGGCTTCTCCATTGACCAGGTCCCAGCTGAGCCGAGTCAGGGCTGGCCCTGAGCAGAGGCAGCCAAACCCCAAGGACAGGTAGACAGAGGTTGCAGAGCCCTTTGATGCACTGAGGGCCCTGACCATCCCTGAGGACTAGGGACCTGTTCCAGTGCTTAACTGTTCTCAGTGTGAAAAATGGTTTCCCTCACATCAAGGATGATTTTCCTTGTTGCAGCTTGTCACTTTTCCCTCTAGCCCTTTTTGTGCTCACCTCAGCCAAGAGTTTGTCTCTGTCTTCTCAGCACTGCCCCCACCTGACCCCTACCATTTAAATATAATGGAATCATAGAATCATTAAGGTTGGAAAAGCCCTCTAAGATCACCAAGTCCAAACGCCAACCCATCACCACCATGCCTGCTAAACCACGTCCTGAACTGCCATATCTACACGTTTTTTGAACGCCTCCAGGGATGGTGACTCTACCACTTCCCTGGGCCTCCTGAAGTAACAGCAGACCACAACTAGCCTCCCTTCTTCCGGCTCAGCAAACCCAGTTCCTTCAGACTTGCCCAAATGCCACGTACTACAGCCCCATATCCCCCCAGCCCTTTGCTGGACTTGCACCAGTTTGCCAATATCTCTTCTGTAGGGGAAGAGAGAAACTGGTCCTAATATACCAGGGGCAGCCCGACAAGTGTAAGTACAGGAGAATAATCACTTTCCACAGCTTGCTCTCTGCATTCTTGCTACTACAGTAATCTGGGGTTGCCACAAGGGCAGACTGCTGCCGTGTTCAACCTTCTGCCCACAAGGACCCACCAGTGGCCCTCTGTGTTAGGTGGTCACTCACCCCTACTCTCTGGGATTCTAGAGGTATGTTATTGCCCTGCTTGTCAACACTAATATCATTGTTTCTTTTGGAATGAGGAAACTCTTCATAGAGAGAGGTCAGTTCCTATGGGCAATGTAAAGAGCAAAAACACTGAACAACGTCACATTGTCTGATCTTGGCAATTGTAGATATTGGGGACATTGGGAGGGTTTCGGAAGGTGTGGGAAAGCGTGTTGTGCCACTGATCTGGATTCTCTATGATCTGTTAGACACTGGAGAATTTTATATTTGTGGGCAACATGACACTTCAGTAACTGGATAAAGCCCTGCTTCCCATTCACCTTGGGAAAGTAAGTCACTTTGTTGAAACTGTGCGTTTCTATCCAATGCTTTATTTATAAAGAAATAAGTTAGGTAATGCCTATGTCAGTAAGCACTTTGATAGCTGGATGATAATCAATTAAAGTTACTCTTTTCCATAATTATGACAGAACAGCCTTAACTGAGAAAATAATGTATTTCTGCATTTCATCTTTTGGAAATAATAAGCTAAAGTAAAAATACTAAAATTCATGATCGTGATAAAATAAAAGATTATTTCCACAGTCTCAGAGCTTATTTGAGGATTGTCTTCCCTCAGGTGAAACATTTCCGGGCTCTGCAAGAGCAGGCCAATACATACTTGGATCTTCTGTGCTCCATGTGTGATCTGTCAGATGCCACAGTGAAGAGTACAGCAACAGATATTCAACAAATAAAGCAAACGGTACAAGATAACCACAACAACCTGCTTTTAATCCTGTTAGAGGATTAACTGCCTTCATCTGTCCTCTTTTAAAAAGGTCGTATTGGGTAATGGTTTAAAGAAAAGTCTTTTTACTTTCATCTGAAGTATTTTTTTAAGAAATAGTTTTCTCTTTCTTTTACTACTATTTTTTTTTTTTATTACATCCACACATTGCTATCCTGGTCTTAGTACAAAGACACACAACAAAGGTTGCTGAAGGTGCTTAGGCAATTTTACAAGATGTTAGCCTAAAACAACACAAATAACATCCTATGGAAGAAAACCTGATCCAAATTATTTGATTCTGTAAAACACAATTCCATCTATTATTCTCTGTATTTTGTTAAAGCTTAGTCATATTTTACTGTTATTATTTCTTGAACTGTAGACTGAAGTTCTTATTAGGATATACTAAAATACTATTGATTATCACGAGAAAAAATTGGGATGGTTCAATTCATAAATCAGAGTGCATCTATTTCAGCACATGAATTTATAGAAATGTACCTCACTTGTAAGTTTTAACCAAAGTTTTGAAACTACCAAGAGTAAAAATCTAATATATACAGTAGCAGTATTCCATACCAGAGAAGAGAATTGTAAAAATCCAAGTAGTCCATAAAAAAATGGCACTTTAAATGCTGAGTAGCTAAAATGTATCCAAAACATCGTAATAAGATTCTCCTTTTATATATAAAGCAATGAAACATTTTTAAGAACTCACAGACAGTACAGTGCTGAGGTATGTTAAGCCGGTTGAGTGTCTAAACCTTAAAGGCGCCCTACTGCTGTATTTGGAGCAAAAGAAGCTGTATGACTATTGGCTTAAGGTGATTGATGGGCTCAGATGTGGTAAGCATTCTCCTATTGACATTTTACAGAAGGCATATAGACAAAATAACTGGGCTAAGCAAATTAAAGTGTTTAGTTTAAGCTTGTATTTGGTCATTGTAAAGGCATGCAGGGCACAGTCCAGCAGTATTCTTGGCGTGCAATAGACTAAATCATACAGTTAATTTAAGCTTTAACAGAAGACTGAGAGCACTTTGAAATGCACACTCATAAATATATTTGTGTCTCTCAAGGGTGAATGATAGTTCTTTTTTTTTTTTCCATAGCTTTCCTTTGATAGGTCTGATTTTTATGACTTGTGAATGTTAAGATGCTTTTTGTGGATAATATTAGCCCCTTCAGAATCTAGTGCAGAAATTTGCTCTTAGTACAGTGTTGTGCTCGGAGGAAAAATGGTATTCATCCTCTCTTCTCCAAAAATAGCTGCAGTAAAGCATTCCAACTCTTTTTCATTGTTTTTCTTCTAGATTGAGCAACAGATAATGCACTCGCAGTATTTGGCTCAAGGTTGGGAAGAGATCAAACAAATGAAGGCTGAGCTCTGGATGTATTTCCAGGATGCAGATCAACAACTACAGAATCTGAAAAGGAGACGGGCAGAGTTGGAGCTAAACATTGCCCAGAATATGGTACTCCAGGTTAAGGTAAGGAGACTTCAGGTTAAGAACAGAAGGGAAGGAAGTTCATGCTGTGGGTTATATTGTTCTAATTCATGTTATATGCACGTGTTGTATAGAATTGCTAATATATTCTAAGCAAGGACAGAGAAGACAGGGGAAAGGAGGTTTCCTTATTGATGCCACAGGGTGACACAGAAAGTAAAACACTGTACTTGAATATTTTTCTGGTTTTGTTTTTTTCAGCAGTAGACGTTTTTCAGCCTATTGTTCTGATTTGCCTTCATTTTTAATAGGCTAATTGCTGATCACAGTGGACTTGAAGATTAGATCTGCAGTTTGTGCTTGCTGTGTTCTTTGATTCCAATAGTTCTAAATTATTTAGATCTATTTCAAAATTAGTCTAGGAAACTGTTCAAAGTTGCTGGACTCTGAAAATCACTGGAGAATAGGTATGATAGAAAACCCAATTTAGGTTACCCAAAATAGTGAGACAAATGTCTTCAGATCTTCACTCATTCTTATTCATTTACATATGAGAGAATTTTTATGGCCCTTCTGCATGCATCACGAACATCAGTAAAGTAACAAGAAGAAACAGAAAAACAGATTATTCCTTTGAGAAATGGTGAAATGCTTGGGTTTTGCATTTTCCATCTAGACTGCTTGTATTCTTTTTCTGATATGCTAGGAGCTGCATGAAAAGTAAACAGCATTTCCTTTTTGTGTCTGTTCTACATGAGTGTTTGAACAAAGTCATAGCCCGTGGAGATACCTCCGCAGAATGTGGACTGAAAGCTGTTATGCTAGCTATCATTAGAGTCCAGGAAGAAGCAGGAGTCTGTATTTCTTCACTGCTTCAGTCAGGATCTTTGTATTATTATGAAAGGCAGGCACCTGCTGTACTGTCAGATGTGGCACAATGTGCATTTTTCCTTGAATTTGCCCTTGTAATTGAAGATGCCTAGCTCCATTTGAAGCAGTCACAAAGATGAATGAAGCAGAGCTGGGTAGTAGCATCTCTTCTCCAGAACCTCTGCCAGCCTCCAATGAAAACGTATCATCACAGAAAAGTGCTGTAGCTGGTCATGGTTGTTTAGTTAAAATTAATAGAACTAGAATTTAGGAAAAGATTGTATTTACCCTAGACAGTGTGTAAGTGCTGAAAAATATTGCAATAGTTCTAGATGTCAGTATACTGTATGCTCTTTTTTCTACATTCTCTGTGACTTCTTAATTGTTAAGAAATGTGTGTGCAGATGCACTCTTTTATTTAGTGGAATTTATTAACACAAATGGCAATCACACCTAGATAATCATTGGCTTTGTTTCAATAATGACAGCGATAATGTCCGCTATTATAGAAGTAGGAACAAAAAGAATGGATGTGGGGGCTCACTGACTCATGGACTCTGCTTCCTATTTTTAGTCTCTAATAAAAAAGGAAAAGGAAAAAAATGAGCTAGAAACAGTAGTGGTAAAATGAATTCTCAGGAGACCCAGACTATCGTGTGTGTTTCAGTGCATGGTGGGAGCTGTGCTTGTCCAGAAAGCTGGACAACAAGATGTGACTTAATCGTGATTTCTGTTTATCACTGCCAATTGGAAACTGCTCTGGTTTGCTTACACGTCTGTAACCAACCTGCCCTCACCTGAGAAGAAGAGGAGAAAAGTTAGGCAAGGGGAGAAGGTGCTTCTTCCAATTTACATCTGCACAGCATTTGCCTGGGCAGATAATTAGTCCTTACACAATTTACAGAGTTTTAATTTAAGTTGCATCTTATAATTTTGAGGAGGTGTCACCATATTGGTTTTGATTTGTATCTTTTTCAGGAATTCAGTCAGAAGTTGCAATCTAAGCAGTCAGCTCTTACCTCTGTGACTGAGAAGATGAACAAACTAACCGAAGGACAGGAATCACCTGAACACAAGGAAATAGGAGAGCTGAGCAATCAGTGGCTGGACCTCTGCCTTCAGGCACACAGTTTGCTCATAGAGAGGGAGGAGGATCTGCAGAGGACAGGGGATTATCATGATCGTATGAATGTCGTTGAAGTTTTCTTGGAAAAGCTCACAAAAGAGTGGGACAACTTGGCTAGGTAAAAAACGTTGTAGTACGCACAAAGCTGACAATGCATATACGCTGAAGGAGCTGTTTACAGAGTGTCTCTAAGTTGGATCCACCAAAAATCCCCTTTTCCATGCTTAATTAAAAGCAGGCCTCCCTGATTAATTACAGGGCAATTACTTGTATTGAAATACAGAGAGTTTGAGAAGCCAGATCTTCAGTGTTTGTCTTTAAGGCAAGTACTGATTGATCCCACCTCAGAGTATACCATTTTCTGATATTTCAAGCACTTTGACTATTTTGTTTAAGCTTTCATTTGTTTTCACGGTGTTTCGTATGTGGTTTTCATTGTGGTATTGTGTTTTATCTATTAGACTGTTATATTAAAGTTTAGTTGCTTCTGCTAAAAGGTTGCAGCTGCTTTGTATAGCATAAACACACCAGCTGTGTGTAAAACTATGAGAGTCTATTACTGCTGCTATCACTGTCGTGGAACAAGATTCACTTCAACCTCAGTACTTGTTGTTGTTCATATGTGCAATATAACCAGTATACTCTGTCGTATTCATGTTAATTTGTATGGTCAGTCTGGTGACCACATTGCAGATGAAAGGGAGAGGAATAAACATCTTCTTAATTAATGTTCAAAACTGGTACCTTCAAAAGAATATGAGACCTGTAGGCATTTATATCACATTGATTTCAATTTATAGTGGGCTTATAATTTGTCCTGACCTCTTTTAAAAGTCTGTCTTGAGATAGGATCTAATAATTAATTTCTGTCCTGTCCATTTTGATAACAGATCTGATGCTGAAAGTACAAACGTGCACCTTGAAGCTTTACAAAAATTGGCACTGGCACTACAGGAAAGGAGATTTGCTCTGGAAGATTTGAAAGATCAGAAACAGAAGATGATAGAACATCTGAATCTTGATGACAAAGAATTAATAAAGGAGCAATTTGGTCATTTTGAGCAACGCTGGACTCAGTTGGAGGACCTTGTCAAAAGGAAAATTCAAGTTTCAGTTTCAACCTTAGAAGAGCTCAGTGTGGTGCATTCCAGATTTCAGGAACTAATGGAATGGGCAGAGGAGCAGCAACCTAGTATCTCAGAGGCTCTTCAACAGAGCCCTCCTCCAGATTTGGCTCAGAGTCTTCTCGTGGATCATCTTACCATTTGCAGTGAGCTTGAAGCCAAACAGCTTGTTTTGAAGATGCTTGTGAAAGATGCAGACAGGGTGATGACCAACCTAGGGCTCAACGAAAGGCAGGAGCTGCAGAAAGCACTTTCTGATGCACAGCACCATGTAGATTGTCTCAGCGATCTGGTTGGCCAGAGGAGAAAGCACCTGAATAAAGCACTGTCTGAGAAGACCCAGTTTCTTATGGCAGTCTTTCAGGCTACAAACCAAATTCACCAGCATGAGAAGAAGATAATATTTCCGGAACACATTTGTCTGTTGCCAGAAGATGTGAACAAACAGATCAGGACTTGCAAGAATGCCCAGGCTAACCTGAAGGCCTATCAAAATGAAGTCACAGGGTTGTGGGCTCAAGGAAGGGATTTAATGAAAGAAGCAACAGAGCAGGAAAAGAGTGAAGTGCTAGGTAAACTGCAAGAACTACAGAATGTGTATGACACTGTTTTACAAAAGTGTAACCAGAGATTGTTAGAATTGGAGAAAAATATAGTTTCCAGGAAATATTTCAAAGAAGACTTGGATAAAGCTTGCCATTGGCTAAAACAAGCTGATATTGTCACATTCCCGGAAGTCAATGTAATGAATAGTAACTCTGAACTATACACGCAGTTGGCAAAATATCAACAGATTCTTGAGCAATCTCCAGAATATGAAAATCTGCTACTTGCATTGCAAAGAGATGGCCAAGAAATCTTACCATCACTTAACGAAGTGGATCATTCTTATCTGGATGAAAAACTTAACGTTCTTCCTCAGCAATTCAACATTGTCACTGCTCTGGCAAAAGAAAAATTACGTAAGGTTCAGGAAGCAATTTATGCCAGAAAAGAGTATGCCTCTTTGATTGAGTTGACAAGTAAAGCTCTGACAGAGCTAGAAGATCAGTTTATGAACACGGACGAAGCTCCAGCTGCTGTTTTAGCCAAAGAAGCCGTGTCACTCCAGCAGGCCTACAGAGATCTCTTAGGTGAAGTGGTGAGCCTTGGTGCAGCAGTGGATGAACTAAACCAGAAGAAGGAAGCCTTTCGAAGCACTGGCCAGCCGTGGCAACCAGATGAGATGTTACAACTTGTCACATTGTATCACAAGTTGAAGAGGCAAATAGAACAGAAAATCAACCTGTTGGAAGACACAATAGAAGCATGCCAGGAGCATGAGAAAATGTGTATGCAGTTTGAGGCACAACTAGAGGCAGTGAAGAAAGAGCAGATTAAGGTAAATGAAGAAACGCTCCCAATAGAAGAAAAGTTGAAAATATACCATTCTCTGGTGGGCAGCTTGCAAGACTCTGGGAGTCTTCTGAAGCGAATAACTGAACATCTAGAAGCTCTTTCTCCTCAGCTTGACTCATCTGCATGTGAGACAACAAATCACCAAGTGCAGTCTTGGCAAGAGAAACTAAAGTCTTTGCATGCTGCCATTGGTGACACTGTGATGGAGTGCGAGAACAGACTTGTGCAAAGCATAGACTTCCAGACAGAAATCTGCCGCTCACTTGACTGGTTGAGATGGGTGAAAACAGAACTTAGTGGAACATTAAGTTTGGACCTCAGACTGCAAAGTATCCAAGAAGAAATCCGAAAGGTTCAGATACATCAGGAAGAAGTGCAGTCAAGCCTGAGAATAATGAATGCACTGAGCAATAAAGAGAAAGAGAGATATATGAAAGCAAAGGAGCTGATACCTACTGACCTGGAAAACACTCTTGCTGAGCTGACAGAACTGGATGGTGAAGTTCAAGAAGCTATACACATGAGACAGGTTAGTTCACCGTATGTGTTGTTAGTTTTGAGCTCAGGAAGCTGAAAAATATGGCCCTGTGACTTGATGTTTGTAAACATCATGAAAAGATAGATTTTAATAATCCTGTTGTTTGTAGTTTTTAAATGACTTAGGTTGTGGCCTGTTTCCATGGTTGACTTGTGGCGGGGGTGGGGAAGATTCCCTAATATACACTTAGACCTGTGTGTAGAAGTGCAAACTCACTCAAAACCCGCTTCCATATAGTCTCTCTGGACCTGCATTTTTTTATATAATAAAGGGAAAAGAAAGCAAGAATGGACAAAATCCAGACTCTCAGCAGAGGATATTTTTGTTGCTGCTGTGAATTTTATGTCTGTGGCCCTCAATATATTTTTCCTTTTTGTTTCAGGCTACCTTGAATAAATTGTATAGCCTCTGCCAAAGATACTACCAAGTCATGCAGATAGCAAATGACTGGCTTGAAGATGCTCAGGAATTTCTACATTTAGCAAGAAATGGTCTTGATGTTGAGAACTCTGAGGAGAACCTAAGGAACCACATTGAATTTTTCAGCACAGAAAGTCAGTTCAGTAATCATTTGAAGGAGTTACAGCGCCTTGTGTCTGAGATAGAGCCTTTTATCCAAGCCACAGCAAGAGAGCAGCTGAAGCAGAATGTAGCTGCATTGCAGGAAAGGGACAAAGGGACAAAGCAAGAAGCCAAAACCCAGCAAGAACAGTTGCAAAAGTATGTTCATATTTTTCCTTTTCCTTCATTTTAAGATCACCTTGTGGATGATGAAAGATAGAGGCCACAACAGTAAATGGAGTTCTGTAAAATGTTTGTGCTACTGATGAGAGAAGCGGATATTGGGATTCAGAGCTCTTGGATTCTGTTTTCTCCTCTGGGAGAATGACTGTTGCTTATGTCACCTGACACAAGACCTATGCAAACAAATGCAATTGAAGCAGACATTTTGAAGTAAAAAGAAATAACTTTTTAACCAGCATAACTATGTTACTTATTATTCCTGAATGTCCTGGGTTCCAAAAGTTTGGGTGGGTTTAAAACACAACCTCAACAAAGTCACTGAGGAAAAGTCAATCAAGGGCTATTAAATGCCAAGCTGTGTCTGTAAGGCATAGCTGAAAATCAGGAGCATATGCCTCTATGTGTGTTCTTCCCCAGTAATCTTTCTTTTTCTTGGAAAATATTGTGAAACAGCAAAACTAAGCAGTTACATTGAAAACAGGTGCAACAATATTCCTGATTTTCAAATGTGTTTATATAGCATTAAGTTGTTCTTTTGGGAACTATATTTTCAAGGTGTGCTTCTGAGTGGCAGGAGTACCATATAGCAAGACAGAAGGTTATTGAAGTGATGAATGAGGCTGAGAAAAAATTATCTGAATTTTCAGTAGCTAAAGCTACTTCTTCCCATGAAGCAGAAGAGAAGTTGCTGACACATAAGGTAAGTTACTGAAAATTATGTGAAATCCTTTTCCTTCAGTGAAAATAAATGTACATTATGTGGGTCCCTACCTGTGGCAACCTGAATTTGAGTTTTCAGATCTTTTCCTGTAGTGCTTAACTGTGTCATAGCACACCAAGACGTGTTTTGTTACGCAGAACGCATGTATTTATCTGATATTTTTAATCACTTTTCAGCTTAGTGTCTGTTTATGTGGCTGTGACTGTAGAGAACTGGAAGGAAACAGGAGGTTCCTAAAAGCCTTGGGTGCATAAATCCCAAAATTGTGTACCCTACAAGAAATTCAGATAAATAGAAATGTCGGTCTACTTTGGATCACGTGAAATAGTTTTACTAGGACAGGAGGGGCTGGGGTCTGACATTAACTCTTGGTTAGTCTAAAAGAAAGAAATGTAACTTAAAATAATTGCTTTCTCACTTTCTCCCCTAGTATTTAGGGTGCTAATCAGTTGCCTTAATATAGGCAGTTAGTGGCACTTCAGTCATCTATCCTGGTCTCCAGCTGTGTCTCTGTGAAGGCAGAAATCTCCCGTAAGAGTAATGTCATGTCTACCAGCTTCATGAGAATATCCTGATTCCCCTGGACATCTAAAATGATGTTAGAGATAAACATGACGTAAATGTATGCTTAAACACCTGAATTGCTTCTTTCATTTTCAGACTCTAATCGAAGTTAGTCTTTGCTCTGCGAAGGGTCCTGAATACTCATTTCCATCCCTTCTGAGGGGCTAGCAAGGAAGAGAAAATCTGATTACACCAGATTTCTACTGTTTCTAGAGAGCTGCATTTTGGGCCAGGTCCTTCAAGTAGCTGTACCTCCTCTTTGTCTGCAGTGGATGGAAGTGATTCATCTGCCTACAAGTGTATTGAATAGTTAAGCGTTGTATTGTAAAAGAGGAAAACAGTAGTTATTTTTGCTTTTTCAGACTCTTGTGTCTGTAGTGAATTCTTTCCATGAGAAAATCACAGCCCTAGAAGAAAAGGCTTCACAGCTGGAAAAAGTTAGCAATGATGCCAGTAAGGCAACTATAAGTAGATCCATGACAACAGTTTGGCAGCGCTGGACACGGCTCCGGAATGTCGCCCAGGAACGGGAGAAAATTTTGGAAGATGCAGTACAGGAATGGAAGGGCTTTAATGATAAGGTAACTTCTGGTCTTGGTAAATCCTCCTTTGTTGACTGTACGTAGGTTTTCACTTATTGTACTGCCATATTAATCGTCTTATGTAGAGAAAAATGGATAGCAGGAATAACTGTGATTATAGAAAATAATCATAGAAAAAAACAGCTGTGGAAGACATAGGTTTAGAACCACTGCCTCCGAGGCGCATGCTATTCTTTTATGTGCATAGATGTACAGTAAACACAGAATTGTTTTGGTTTCTGGTGGTTCTTCAGAATCTTCTCCTCTGTTTCCCTTCCCCAGATGGTCTATTCTAGATTGCCAACCTCTTTTCCCCCCCGCCTCCCCGAAGAGTATGAAGTTGCTATTCCTAAACATCTGCAGTGATATTATCGCCTGTCATGGCTCACCAATCACATGCCTCTTATTTTCCCTTACATCCTACCTGACTCTCTTTATCTGTTGTTGTCCGTTATTTTATACTGAGATTGAAGATTCTCTGATAATGGGGATAATCTTTTTGTTAAATGTATGACTTGTGCCTAATATGTGTCTGCCTTGGGATAGATCTATAGGTCCTATGGCAATAAAGATAATAAATGCTAAAAAATATATGAGGAGCCACTCATCACTTGACAAAGAAAATCCCTTAGTAAATCCTAGTTCAGTGTGAAGAGCTAGGGCTAGCTACCTTGATCTAGCACATTATAGGGCATAGATTTGTATCTGCTATAGAGACTGGTGCACAAGCTGTGTACCACAACTGGTTTACAGCATCTAAATGTACAGCGCTGGGTTTAGCACCTTTTGGTATCAGTTGTACTAGCTTCTTTTTAATTTTGTTATTTCCAAGACTGCTTCTCTTTCTATAGATTCAGAAAGCCACCATAGCAATAGATCAGTTACAAGGTCGCTTACCAGAAAGCTCAGTGGAAAAGGCATCCAAAACAGAGCTCTTGGAACTCCTGGATTACCACAGCAGTTTCCTTCTGGAGGCGGAGCAGCAGCTGTCATCTTTGGGCCTGCTCAAACAGCACGCTGTCAGCATGCTTCAGGATGTGGAAATAAAGCCTCCATCTCAGGAGGAACTCCCAGTCATGCAAGAAATCAAAGCAATGCAAGATCGATGCCACAAGTAAGGCAATAGTTTAAAAAATTCACTAGAAAAATGGTATAATTCATTAATAAGAGTTCGCATATCATTTTTGTTATCATTAACAATTAGCATGCTTAAAATAATAGTTATTATATTTAAAATAAGCATCAATTTAATTTTAAATTATCTTTATTTAATTTTGAAATGCATTTTTACCATTATTTTTTATTTCCGTCAACAGAAGTATGCATTTTAGAATATGTACTTCTTACCTTGCATAATAGTAACTTATGTAAGGGTTATATAAACTGCTTTGAAGTTACAACCGATTTTACACACTTCCATTGCTTCTCACCGTTCACAGTGATCTTTTATCTTTTTGTATCCTAAGTTTAGAGTAGTTTATCACCTTGTTTCTCCTGTTGGAAGCCCTTAGGTATCCTATGAAATTTACAAGGGAATTTAGCACATATGCAAACTAAACATATCTTACAATTTCACCGTATGAATGTTTGTCTAAATCTAAAATGTTTCCCTGTCATATATAAAATAGGAAGTTTTATGGCTAAGTTTCAGGACTCATATCCACCTCTTAACTGCACTAAGATGCCATTAACTGGGTCTCCACAGTGGGAAGAGGGAGAGGGACAGAGAATGAAAAAGCTGTAAATACTACACCTAGTCTGTGCAAAGTTCATTGTGTACATGCATAACTGATTACAGTAGAAGAGCAATCCCTGTAGAAAATGTGCATATACTAGAACTTTTGTAGTTCCATTCTTCCCTTAGAATTAGTTTCTAAGAAATAGGGTCTGTGATGATCTAATGCTTATGTAAATAAGGCATGATTCAGCTATGAAATGTTATACAAACATAAATCAAATATGGGAATATCAAAGTAATATCCAGGTCATGTACATCAGAACTACGAGTAGTCCTGTAGATCTTTTACAGAACTGTTGTCTGAGAAAGATTCTAATTTTTACAGGAGATTCAAGTTCTTGAGGAAAGTGTGGAAATTCCATCTTAGTGGAGTTGTAGAGATAGGTCCCGGGATGAAAAATGGTGTTCAAGTGTTTGATCCATGCCTTATTCTGGGTATTCTGCCAATGCAAATCCCATCAATAGGGGTGGAATTTCTTTTCTTTTATAGATATACACATCTGAATTGGTTATTTCTCACTCTCTAATTAGTGAAGAGAAATAGACGGGTCTAAGATCCCGTTTTTCTGACCTATTTTAGAAGGTGTTTTTAGAAGGATGATGAATCATCCTAAATCATGCCCTCGAATATACTGCTTCCTCGAGTGACAACAAGGCCAGTCTGTGGTGATGAGCTCAGATGTAGGTGTCTGTATTGTAAATGTTTGCCTTTCTTCAAAAGAATTGATCACTCGATGTCAAAATATATAAAACTGCTAATTTAAAGGAAAGAACTGAAGAATGAACATGAGAAATTTAATTGTGCTGTTTTAGTAGTTTGTTGCAACAGTGCTCTGCTTTTTATTACCCTGGATGTGGGTGTATCAATAATTATATTTTCTGACAAAGCAATGTTTTTAGACATTGCTTAATTCTTCACAAATGGTTATTGTTTCTTTGTTTCTGAAGTATGCAACAGAAAGTGAAAAAAGGTGCGAAGATGGTGAAACAGGAGCTGAAGGAACGTGAGGAGGTTGAAGCAGAGATTAATATTGTGAAGTCCTGGGTCCAGGAAACAAAAGAATATTTATTAAGCCCTGATGCAGAAGTAGATACTCAACTTCAGGAATTGCAGGTATATCAAATATGTCAGTTTCTAAAATACAATATTTATCTTCATTGTAATCTTCTAGTGAGTGTTAATCTGTTCAAAACCACCATGAATTTAAATTAGACAATATTCATTAGTTTTTGAGTAAGCCACTAGACAAATTCATAAAGCGTGAAGTAGCTGATGGGCTGTAACACCTTATTTTAAAGATATTTAAGATATATTTAAGTATTTGTATTTATGTAATTTTACATACTAGCGTATTGTTTAGTAATTTTTTCTCCTCTCATCTGGAATATGGGGGAACAACAGAATGTAAATGGACAGAATACGACATTTCTAACTTGGCGGTTTGGGGCAGGGAGGGAAGCAACAGAATAAAATAGACTTGTTTCACTGAAGGTGTTGAATACTTGACGTTTTCTATGCACGTGTGGTCACACAGGAACAGAGAACTGGACAGTCATAAATGAGAATCCAGGGAGTCCCAAGATACAAGTTTTAATGAATTAATTAAAAATCTGAAAGCAATTAGCTTTGTTGCAAGCTGCATGTGGTGTCTGCATTTACTAAGTTCACAGAGGCATGTTTTTCCCATGGTTCTTAACAATGCTATTTTTCTGTCATTAGTCTCTCCTTGGTGAAGTAACTACTCATCGCCAGGCTGTTGAAAAAATGGCTGAACAGCAACAGAATAAGTACTTGGGGCTTTATACCGTCTTGCCTTCTGAACTCTCTCTTAATTTAGCAGAAGTTGGGCTGGCCCTTGTAACTGTACAAGATCAGGTAAAGCATAGTAGGTAAATGGTTTACAGATCTATAGCCCTTCTTTAGCCTTTGTAACTTAGTGAAATACAATATCCGAGTGCGGTCAAACTATGACAACATACAGTAGTTTCACTACCTTCTTTGTTTAATTTAAAGCAAGTTAAATGAAAGTTAATTTCCTTCCAGAAGGAGAGATTTCTGGTTGCTGAATTTGATTCTTATTGTTGACAGATTCAAGCCAAAGAAAGAGAAACTCAGCAGATCAAAACATTGAATCAAGAGTTTGGTCAGAAAATCCAGGGCGTAGCAAATGAACTAAATGCCATTCTTTCCAAACTGAAAAAGAAAACAAATGATATAGCACAGGCTAAACTTGAACAAAAGGTAAGAGAAGGCTTCTCTTATTTGGTTACACCATAAATTCTTCTGAATTGGGACATTGACTTCATACCACAGCTGTATTTGTGAAGACTTGCATGGCACATATTTTTAATGTAGTTCAACAGAAGAATGGACAGAAATAAGGGTTGACTGATGAGAGTTTTTAACGATATTCTTTGCGAACTAGCCCACATGGGGACTTCAGTGAGTAACAGAACTTGGAGGAAGTAGCTGAGAGTAAAAGCAAGTCAGATGGACAAAGTCATGCTGTTCCCTCTAAATAATGAGCATTACTACAACCTGGGAAAGCCTAAAAGGCTCCCAAACTGCTCCTTGTCCTGGTCTGTACTGAAAAGACTATTCTTTACAGTACATGTTTACTTACAATAAATACAATTATACTTAGCCAGTAGTCCATCTCGTATCATTTGGTGCAATAACGAGATAAAGTACTACTGGTGCGGGTAACGGTAATGCAAAGGATGCTTGGTTCTTTTTGCAGGTTTTCTTAATCTTAGGTACGTACCTTACTATGTGGTATATGTACCATGAACCTATATGTACCATGACAAAAGCTCATCTCTACTGAGGTGCAATGGCCAAGTTAGGATTATCATACGAGAGTAGGGGATTTTGGGGGGGGGGGGGGAAGATGGGGAAGGGGTTTTTAACTAATCAAAGATAAATTTGACCAAGTTACTGTGTGAAAGTAAACAAAGCATAACAAATAGGAAGAGATTTACCGTGTCTAGTATGTCAAAAATTACCTGTTTATTTTCATGAATTGCTCTCAATGTGCTCAAACGTACTGTTTGCTTTGGAGGTGGTGTCACTGACATTTATCCCTTTAAAATTTGTTAATCTGCTTGATCCCAGTAATTAAGCAGAAAGCCAGTGAAACGTGCTTTCCCATGTTACACAGACGAAAACTCTCTCACTGAAGATTTAGTAAAGTTCTCTCAACTGCATTTATGTCAGCACTCAGCTGATACTTCTGAGATTGCATTGGCTTTGATTACAGCAGTAAAAAACTTTATATGAACACTGACTGTGAAAAAGAAAATAAAAATCTGTTTTAAATCCATGTGACTCAAGTCCTCTGGATCCTTCCCTCGTTTTTAGATGGCATATAAATTCTGCATCATTTCGATAGTAGAGACATTTATTTATGCCTGCCTGAAAAACATGCATCTTTGTGTTTAGATGAGTAGTTCAACATCTGTCTTTGTCTACATGTAGACAGTTCTGTCACTAAGTCATGCTGCTCTTCATGGAATATTTGTTTATCACAACAGTTGATCGTAACTTACACTCTAAGGTCGGTCTGCCATGGCAGTCCTAACCTGAAGAGCTTGAAGTACCTTCTTGAAGCACCTGTAGCTAGAGCATTGTTCTGAATAAATTTTTGTGTGATGATTGCAATTTATATTTCTAAAAATAATTGTAAAGGGGATAGAGTGTTTGATGAGACTTCTTTTATTTATACTACAGAAGAATGAATTGTTAACCCCTTAGATACAAAAATAAAATACAAAAATACCCCAATATACCCCCTCCCCAAGAAAGTGTAGCCCATAAATATGTTATCAATGTATGAGAAACGTAGAAAACCTTTTAGGTTTCCTTTCAAAAGTTTTCACAAACTTTGTAACTATGCTAAGAAAAACTGAATTTAAAATATGTTTCTATTGAAACAGTCTGGCATGATTCAGACCACTCCAATGTCAAGATCTAGCTATGAAAATGCAAGTTTCAAATAAAAATGGAACTTTTTATAATGCATTAATGAATAGTTACATATTTCTGAATTTGTAAGAGTATATTTTAAGACACCAACAAAATGAAACTCCTCTCTGATTAGTAAAAATCATTGTCATGGCAATGTGTACTGACTATTATTTTCAAAAACAAACACAGAAAAATGGCCATGAACAGTTAATGTCACTCTGAAGTAACTCAGTCTTTTGCTATGGTAAGGAAAACGGTTATCCATTTCAGCCAGGGAGTCACAGGAGAAAGAGTGATGGCACACATTTAAGAGATGACAAAACATCCTGCTTTTCTGCCTTCCTGGTTAGACAAACACTGTTGATTTCCAGCCAGAATAAAAATGGAAGAAATTATGGAGAATTTGGACAAAAAAAAGTTGCAAGTTGGGCTAGAAGTAAAAAAACCAGAAAGCTAACATTTCCTGGATCACTGATTGTCTTGTTTTTCTCTCTAGATCCTTGGGGAAGAGTTGGACAGCTGCAATATAAAGCTGTTGGAGTTAGATGCATCAGTCCAGGACTTTGCAGAGCAGAACGTACCGCTGGCTAAGCAGCTGGCTAACAGGATAGGGAAACTCACTGCATTGCACCAACAGACCATACAGCAGGCTGAGTACAGAACAGCTAAGCTCAGTCAGGTATGATCTCATCCTTTCTGCTGTTCCCTTTCAGAAGCAGAAGGAGCATGCAAACTTCTTATTTATTTTCCTGTGGTTATGCAAGAAGGGGCATTCCTTGGCACATCTGCCTATTGTGAGTCAGGGCTTGCATCACACCTCAAAAAGGTCAGATCAGGAGGGTGGAATAATTCTTTGATGCTCCTTTAACATCCTCCTCCATGAATCGTCTACTGTTTGGTTCCTCTGGTGCCCTGAAAAGTTTATAGACCTTCCCACAGACAGTAATATTCCAGGAATTACTATTCCATTGTACCTTACAGCACCTCTGTCTTATCACTGTTACCTATATTTGCAGCATTAAAATAAAAACATTGTTTTGCTCTGGTCACTATCTAGAGTGTGAATATGATTTGTAGATTCGATAGAATGGCCCTGATAATGCATAGTGTTTATGCAACAGTTCAGCATTTGTAAAGATGCTTCCCCTGTAATTCAAAATCCCTGAAACTCTTTCTTATGTTTTTTTTTCCAATTGTTATCATGCCAAAGAAGTTCAGCTAAAAGCAAAGAAAAGGATTTTCTATGGTTCTGCCATCAATACTCTGATAAATTATGAGGTCTCTTTTCTGCATGCATGAAGAAGCTTCTGTAAGGCTTGAAAAAGATAACTATTTCATTATATTCTTTTCAGTTTTCTCTTAAGAATTGTTTTTAAAAAGAGAAAGAAAATCACTATCAAAGTAAGAGCTCAGTCAAAAGTACTTCTTGAAGGGATTTAGCTGTTAGGATATTTTTGTTCAGTGCCAAGAAATCCACTTCCTGTCATAAAAAATGATTGGTAAGGCAAAGTGCATGAAAATGTAGTTCTGTCACCCAGGATTTGATCCATCCTTCATACAGGACAAAAGCATGAAAATCAGTGAAATTATTCTGGTTAAGTAAGAATAAAATTGGAACGAAAGAGTACTTCACTTAATAGATATTGGGTGAATCAGAAAGCAGAGCTTTTTTCCTGTATTTTGAAATAAGTGCAACATTTCTTTTTTTTGGAAATATGACAGGTTGAGTGGACAAAGCATGTTTTAAATAAAGATGATTTGGGGGAGGATATGGAAAGAGAAAAACTAAAATTAGTAATGACATAAAAGAGGCTTGCAGTGAGCCACAAACTGAGCAAGAAGGTAGTTTGGGGCTTACGTGTGAGGTTGAATATGTGCAGGAAGTGTAACCTCTAGGCATATGTTTGAGCATCAGCGCGCACTCTCCCCATGTGACCTACATTCTTGTAGTGCCTTTTTCCCCCTGAAATAGTTATGTTTTTTACTGAAAGCAGACCTATTTTAACTCCATAAATAGAGAAATAAATAAATTATATTCAACAGTAAGGAAAAGTTTTGCAAACAATCCCCAAGTTAAAAACACTAAATGAAATAAAAGTAATTTTATCATTCTCTAAGAACTGTACAGAATTACATTTTAGGCTTAAGTGGATTTGTCTTTTATATCCAGGCCGCTTCACACCTGGAGGAATACAATGAGATGCTGGAGTTCGTATTAAAATGGATCGAGAAAGCAAATATCCTAGTGCACGGTAGTATAACATGGAATGCTTCCTCTCAGCTTCGTGATCAATTTAAAGCCTACCAGGTGATTATATGAGCAATTAAATTTGAAGGGCAGTGTATAAAATATATTGTTTTCTGAGCAGTGAATTTTTATTTCCTACACTTTTTTGTCTCCTTTTCTTGAGGGGAAAAAGTCTTAAAGTGCTAGGTTTCTGTGACTGTTCCCTCAGGTCTTAGAGACAATTAATTTGTTTTGGACAATTGTTTTTAAGACTGAAATGAAGATATATTTTTGAATAAAACTGTGATTCAAAGTTGACCTCTGTGTTTACTCAAGTACATTGGCTTCACAGCAGCTTTTGATTGAACAGTGTGTCTGTACACTGTGATTCTATTACACGGAGTACCTCATCGCAGCTAATACTCTTCTAAAACTGTAGTTAACCAAACACGATTTTCAGGGTTGGTTTTTTTTTTTTTTCTTTTCTTTCTTTTCTAAATTGAAATAGCCTTTGTTCTCCTCTGATGAGTTTCACAGTAAATGTTCTCAGACTGACACCCAATGGATGAGTCTCTTCCAGTTGCTTCCTGAACATCTCTCATCAGTGTGTTTTGCCATCCATGTGACAGTTCAATTTGTTCTCTGTGTGTTCGTGTGTTGAATGTGTAAGTGTGGGATCAGTGGAGCAATTTGATAAGGTTCAAGCTTGTCCATTGTTACATGACCACATGAAAGAAATCAAAGCATCATAAAATGATTGTATCTCACTAATGACAAATAAGAATGCATTAATTATGGTTTTTATAGTTAGTTAGTTACGGTTTTTATACAGTAGTTAATTGTTAGCTGCATTTACTTACGTTGCGGCAATGTAATATGTCAAGCTTTCTTATTCTGAATAGGAACCACCAGGCAACTTATCCTGAGGATAGCTAGGAGATAGCATTTCTGGTTTGCTTTTGTTACGGCATTTTTCTTGCTTCAAAAGTTGATGAGGATATGGTCTTAACCATGCCATCCCACAGAACACTTTGGTAGCCGTTTTTAGGCAGCGTTAATGACTACTGCCCTGCAATAACATTGCACCTGAGTGCTTTCTGCTGCTTCCTATTAGGTACCTCAGGCTTCCAGAACAAATCCTATCCGTAGATTGTGTATATTATATTTTTACAGGCAAGCGTGTGTAGAAAAATGCTAAAACAAATGTGTTGATAAGAACAGCTGCTGAAGCTTCACAGCTTACTCTTTTTGTTTCCCAGTCTCCATAAGCAGCCTTACAGGAAATTAGTAGAACTTTGTCATATGCTTACAGATGTGTACAAATTGAGGAGTTTGTAGAACAGGAATACGTTTAAAGATATGTTTAATCTGAAGCTCAACTCTGGCATTCGATTTGTTCATATCTCCATCTAGACTATGCTTGATGAGTCTGGAGAGCTTCATGGTGATCTTGAGGCCATGAGTGAAAGGATTGAGTATCTGGCAAGTGTATACTGTACTGAAGGAATGTCACAGCAAGTGCTGGAACTGGGACGGCGGACAGAGGAATTGCAGCAAGTTATCAAAGTGCGGCTGCCAAATCTCCAAGACGCTGCCAAGGTATATGAAAGCAGTTTTTCTAATGCTAGCTGACAGCTAGGGTGGTGTGTGCATCACGTTTCTGAGACTGTTAGCAGAGCAGGTTATCTGTGGTCTACAAAGCGCATGATTGTGTTGTCTAAAGTTAGATGTCTTGTGCCAGTTGACATACTGCCTTCAGGGGCTGTTCCAGACCGGGACAAGATTCCTGCAGGTCTTACATAATATCTGCCCATTCTGGAGGGATGTATTGGGGATCGTGGTGTGTCTCAAATGGTACTGGGCACCTGTGTTTAGATACTTGAAAAGTATCTGTGTTGGCACTTACACTGTGCCGTTTCCTTTCTTTTTCTCTTCAAAGATATCCAAAGCCTGCTCTCTATTAATTCAAATCAGTACTGGACTAGACCAGGATTTCATAGTGTAAGACCTGTCTCTAAAACGGAGTGCAAGGAAAAGAAAGAACACATAGAATCATAGAAAACTGTGCCGTTTCCTTTCTTTTTCTCTTCAAAGATATCCAAAGCCTGCTCTCTATTAATTCAAATCAGTACTGGACTAGACCAGGATTTCATAGTGTAAGACCTGTCTCTAAAACGGAGTGCAAGGAAAAGAAAGAACACATAGAATCATAGAAAGTTTTGGGTTGGAAGGGACCCCTAGATGTCATCTAGTCCAACCCCCCCGCAGTGAGCAGGGACACCGCTAACTAGATCAGGTTGCTCAGAGCCCTGTCCGACCTGGTCTTGAATGTTTCCAGGGATGGGGCCTCCACTACCTCTCTGGGCAACCCGTTCCAGTGTTTCACAACCCTCATTGTAAAGAATTTCTTCCTTATATC